GGAAAAAAAAAAAAAAGGCGTCTCCGTTGGTAGCTGCAGGAATAGTATGCTTCGAGGTTGATATGATGTAGCTCTCTTTCGCGGTAATCACCTTCATCTGCGCTCCCTTCCACCAGAGTCCGAGCACATCAAAGATGGCAACTCCAATCCCCTCCCACCAACGCATCGTTCCCGGCAGCGTCAACCTCCCCCCTTACCCCTGGCCCGCCACCGCAAAAGACACAAGCGTCGACCCTGTTTCCATCGCCGAGTCTGTCACTTCCAAGCTGAATGGCTCCCTCTCCTCGGGTGATTTCGCCTCAATCTCCGAGCTCTTCATCGACAACGGCTTCTGGCGCGATCACCTAGCCCTCTCCTGGACACCCCGCACGATCAAGACCTCTGCTGCCATAGCTGATTATCTTTCCTCATCTCCGACTAAGCTCAGTTCGGTACAGGTGGATTTGACGTCTGAGTTTCGGAAGCCGCAGATTGCGAGTTTCGCTCCGGGGGGCAGTCCGGATGTGAAGGGGATTGCGTTTTACATCAAGTGGGGGACTAGTCTTGGCACGGGAAGAGGGGTGGCGAGGCTTGTTCAGGAGGATGGAGAGTGGAAGATTTGGACCATGTTTACTTGTTTGGTGGAGTTGAAGGGGTGGGAGGAGAAGGTGGGGGCGAGGAGGGAGTTGGGCGTTGAGCATGGGAAACAAGAAGGGAGGAAGAACTGGAGGGAGAGGAGGGAGGGGGAGCAGAAGAAAGGGGAGGGGGAGGTGTTGGTTATTGGTATGTTCATCACAGAGTGAGGAGAGGAATGATGACTAACGGTCGGTAGGAGCTGGGCAGTCAGGTCTGACGATTGCTGCGAGGTTGAAAATGTTGGGCGTGAAGACACTGGTCATTGATACGAATGAGAAGGTGGGCGACAACTGGCGGAAGAGATATCATCAGCTGGTGCTGCATGATCCAGTGTGGTACGACCACATGCCGTATCTCCCCTTCCCTGAGCACTGGCCGGTTTTCACGCCAAAGGATAAACTGGCCGAGTGGTTTGAGTTTTATGCCAAGGCGCTCGAACTCAACATCTGGACTTCTACCTCCCTTACATCTAGCAAATGGGATGAGGGCACCAAAACTTGGGAGGTAAAGGTGAACAAGGGGGGCAGAGAGGAGAGGGTTCTCAGGCCGAAACATATCGTTTTGTGTACGGGACACTCGGGCAAGAAGTTCATGCCTGATATCAAGGGGCTGAGCGAGGGGGTGTTTAAGGGGTTGGCGGTCCACTCTGCTGATTTCGCCGGTGCGAAGCAGCAGCAAGAGGGGACTGAGAGAAAGAGAAAGGCGGTGGTGGTCGGGGCGTGTAATTCTGCTCACGATATCTGCCAGGATTACTACGAGAAGGGGTATGATGTCACCATGGTGCAGAGGTCGTCGACTTGTGTCGTGTCCAACAAGGCGGCTCTCAAGGTTTTGCTGGCGGTGCTGTACGAGGAGGGTGGACCGCCGGTCGAAGACAGCGACATCTGGCTTCATGGCTGGCCGAGTGAGGTTATGAAGAGCATACAGATCGATCTGGCCAGGATTCAGCGGAAGATGGACGAGGATTTGTTGGAGGGGTTGGAAAAGGCCGGTTTCAGGACTGACAAGGGGGTGGATGAAGGGGGGTTGTTTATGAAGTATTTACAACGGGGTGGGGGGTATTACATTGATGTGGGCATGTCGCAGCTGATTATTGATCGCAAGGTGAAAGTCAAGCAGGGGGAGGAGATTGAGGAGTTGGTGGAGAATGGGCTGAGGTTCAAAGATGGGGAGGTGCTGGAGGCGGATGAGATTGTGTTTGCTACTGGGTTCATGAATATGAGAACCCAGGCGAGGCATATTCTGGGAGATGAGGTTGCGGATAGGGTGGACGATGTTTGGGGATGGGATGAGGAGGGGGAGATGAGGGGGATCTGGAAGGAGAGCGGGCAATCGGGCTTTTGGTTCCATGGTGGCAATTTGGCCTTGACTAGATATTTCAGTAGGGTGACTGCGCTGCAGATCAAGGCGAGGCTGGAGGGATTGGGGGCCTAAGATTCAGTGGATATCTCGGCTGTGGGTTTACAAGACAGGCTTCAGGGGCGTCAACACCCAGCAATGTTGATTTCTTTTCCAACTCAAGAAAATCCTCTAGTTGTTCTTTGAACCCCCCCTCACACTATTCTCCAACCTGGCCATGGCTTCCTCATTCTGCTGCGTCAAATCCGCCTCGTTGGTGAACCGCCCAGCCTGTGTAAAAAAGACCCTAGCCTTCTTCGGATCCTCATGGATATCCCTCTCGGCAAAGGCATAAGCGCGTCCAAGCATTCTCGCCACGTCAACAACATCCTGAGACCTCGGCCGCCTAACAGCATCATACGCGCCCAATGCCACCTCAATCTGGCTCGGCTGCTTCACCCTCTCAAACAAATGATCCAGCACCGCGGCATCCTCCAACGCCTGCGCAGCCCCATTCCCAGCAAACGGCAGACTAGCATGAGCGGCATCCCCCAGCATAGCCACCCTCCCCTTGAAGTACACCGGCGCGTTATCATGATCCCCCACCGCCCAACTAGCCGACGTATCCTTGGCCACCAAATCGACAATGGCCCTCGCCTCTGGAGTGTAGTCTTTATACAGCCCGACATTTAGCTCTTTCTTTCTCCCCTTGTTATTATCCTTCCCAGGCCCGTCAACCTCCTTCTCGCCCAACGCCGCCCCCCTGACGGCAACCCCAGCGCTCAACCTCGTCCCCTTGTTCATCGGTATGCAATTCACATGCCCCCTCGGCCCAAGCAAAATCGGGACCGTCCTCGTAAACCTCTCCTCCACCCCGGCCTCGATCGCCTCCTCGGTGGTAACCACCGTCCGATAGACCTGCCACCTGTCGTGATTAACCGGGTGTCTCGCCGGATGGTTCTCCCCAATGACATAACCCCTGACAACCGAACGTATCCCATCCGCCCCCAAAACACAATCCGCCTCCCCCTTTGTCCCATCCCCAAACTCAAACTTGACCTTCTCCTCCTCCGCCTCCTCCCAAATCTTTGTCAGTCTCTTCCCAAAGCTCACCTTCTCCCCCGGCACCAACCCAAGCAACCCAGCCAACAGATCCGCCCGACTGACGCTCTTTCGTCCTTTTGCCCTCCCCAACTCGGCGACCGGTTCTTGGTCAGCTCCCGTGTTGGCGTGAGGCCCACAAGCAAAAAAGATGTCAGTTGCCATTTCCGCTTCCGCGTCCTCACCGATGTTGATCGCCTTGTCGAGGTAAGCCTGGTGGACCTCCGGTCCGAGAAGCGCCATGGCCGCGAGGGCGTTGCGGTGGAGGGCCAGGCCGGCGCCGACGTCGGAATGGGCAGGGACGGCTTCGTAGACGTGGATGTCGAGGTGGGGTTTTTTGACGAGGGCGGCGGCGAGGGAGAGGCCGGCTATGCCGCCTCCCATTATGGCTATGGAGAGGGGGTGATGGGTGGAGCCCATTTTGATGATGGTGGTGGTGGTTTGTTGTTGTGATGAGGGAAAGGAGAATAAAGCTGGCGAGTTTTCAAGGTGATGATGAGGGATTGGAAAAGGGGGAAGAGAGTGGAAGGGCAAGCGTCACGTGTCAGAGACAAGAAGCGAGTGCCGTTGCCCCTTTTCCGCAACGGGCGCCGGGGGGGGGCAGAGTCATTCATTCACCTAGCGTTGCTCCGGGAGGAACGGAGGAAATGATGAGACCGAAAAGCGTGTTGATAAAAGCTACGGTGCTTCAGTAAGGCAGTCTCGTCTATCCAATCCGAATTCTAAATGCTGTCGTCATGTCGTGTCCAAAACCACATCATCTGTCTGCCAAATCGTGTCCGAAGAATGTTCGGTCAAATTTCCCCACAAGATCACACCAACCGAATCTCCCATCTCCAAGAGAAAACCCCCCTAACCTGATCATCAACCCCGGAAGCCACCGTGGCGGGGCCTCCGCCGCGATTCAAGCGGTAAACTCATCCCCGGAGTTCTCCACCTTCTTCGGAACCATGGCCTTTCTGTAATCACCAAGTCAGCATTCTCCATCACTGCCACCGATCGTAGATGTTCAAGAACACTCACAAAACCTTATCCGCATCCTTCTCCTTAAACCTCACCTCAACCTCGGCATTCCCCACCAAAGCCTGCATCGAAACCTTCCTCTCCGTCGCCCCCCCACACCCAGGAGCCAAACCCCCCTTCTTCCGCGACGCCATCTGCCCCGGCTTCCCTAAAGGCGAGCCCCAAAAAGCATCATCCTCCTCCGCCCTCCTCCCCCTCCTCACAGGCGTAGGGGTAGGAAGAGCATCCTGAGCAGCAACAAACAACTCCGGCTTCTTGGGAGTGGTAGCGGCATCAATAACACTCTGATAAAACTCCTCGTCCTCACGAGACGGACCAGGGACGTGGTTGTTCTTGCTCCGCGCAGGCCATGGAGACGGAGACGCAGGACGGGGGGGAGGAGGGGAAGGAGGCGGCTTGTTGGCGTAGCGCTCCCGCTCCATCTCGCGCAATCTGATCGCCTTGGGATTTTCCTCCTCTGTATCCTCGACGACTTGGTCCTGCGCTGCGTCGTGGTAGACAGAGGCCGCGACCGGCTCGGACTTTGCGCCGAGGGGGGGGCTTGTGGACAAGGTGGTGGGGAGACGGATGGGCCATTTGCCGAGGGCGGCGAGGCCGTGGGGGACGGGCTGGGGAATCAGTGTGGCGCGGATGTAGTGGTAAAGAAGATCACGGTCTTCTTTGGGGAGGGCGGCGACGCGGGGCAGGTTGGCGGTTTGTGAACGGGCCTGGGTGAGGATGTACTTGATGGCATCCATGTGCTTCTTGTTAAAGCGGATGCGCCAGGCGATGCTGTTCTTCAAGCGGTCGGCCGTGTCGATGTCTTCGGGGTAGTTTTGGAAGGTGATCTCGATGAGGGTTCCGTTGCCGATGATGGAGTCGTCTTTGTCGACGTAGTGGTAGTACACTTGGCGGTTTAGGGAGGGGAGATCATCCTCCTGAAAGGAGATGGCGAGAAGGACGTGAGACTGGTCCTTCTCGAGGTTGCAGTAGACAGACAAATGACCCTTGTTTGCACGGCGACAGAGGGTAGTGTCGGGGCGTTGCTGGCGGTGCCATTCGGATTGGGGGCCGACATGGATGAAGCTGACTGTGTTGGTGGGGAAGGATATGAGGTATGGAGGGATGAAGCTCCCAAGTGGTTGATCCATGGTGAGAAGGGTGTGGTGTCCTTGCTGTGTGCAGATGAAGTGAAGGGTGCTGATGATGGAAGTGACAGATTAGCGTCTCGTTTAGTGGACGGAGAGGGGAGTCTTATACTTGAGAATTCTTCATCATCTTGCAAGTCTAACAGAGGTGGGTGTGGCCCATGACGGATATTGGCAAAGATAGAAAGCAGGGAGATCCGCAGCCATCCTTTGCTTTTAACCCACCACATCGTGGTACACCTCAGCGGATAGAAGCCTATCAATGGCGGAGTTGCAGGCGTATATTGCTAGACAGCTTTGTCGATGTCAAAGCAGGACAAACACCTGAACCTTTACGACTACTACAGAAAGGGTGTGGGACTTTAAACTCACTGACGTCATGTGGGATTTTCACTCACGACCATCACGTCGACCTGCCTTCACAAGACAAACGGAGTCTAAGAGTTCAAGAGGTACAGTGAGCATCCACAAAAAGACAGCTGATTACTGAAAGAATTGGCTTCAAAGCATGTGGAAAGGTTGGGGAAAAGCCACAAAAGCAACTGGTGAAAACTTTGTGACCACATAAATGCAACTTTCTTTTTAGTTTTTTTAATGTTTTTTTTTAAATTTTTTTTATTTTTTTTTAAAAAAGAAAGGAAGCCCTCACACTCTTTTATTCTTCACTCATTCATTCTACCCAGCATCACACTGTCGAGTGCATGTACGATGAGGTGGCTATCTTTCTTCACCGCGATGCTTGCATCACTCGCCCCCATCACCACCGCAGCACCCCGTCCCGCGGCCGCGTCCCACAACCTCGCACCCGCCCTCCTCCCACCAGACCAATCGGAAATCCCCAGACTGGTCCTCTACTTCCAAACAACCCACGACTCTCTAGGCCGCCCCATCTCCATGCTCCCCCTCGTAACAGTCAAACACATCGCCCTCACCCATCTAATCATCTGCTCCATCCACATGCACCAAAACGGCCACCTCCACCTCAACGACCACCTCCCCTCCCACCCCCGGTACAAAACCCTCTGGACCGAAGCCTCCATCATGAGATCCTCAGGCGTCAAGGTAATGGGCATGATCGGCGGCGCAGCCCCCGGCTCCTTTTCCCGCTCCACCCTCGACAGCCCCTCCGACGTCACCTTTGACCACTACTACCGCCAGCTCGCCTCCTTCATCAGGCGGTACAGCCTCCAAGGCTTGGACATCGACGTCGAGCAGCCCATGTCCCAGGGGGGGATCGCCCGGCTCATCCTCCGTCTGCGGTGGGACTTTGGCCCCGATTTCATCATCACCCTCGCCCCCGTCGCGAGCGGGCTCACCAACGAGTGGGGCGGGCTCAGCGGGTTCGACTATCGGGTTTTGGAACGGGATTATGGATCTCTTATCGATTTTTACAATGCTCAATTCTACAATGGGTTCGGGTCGGTGCATTCGACGTCTCACTTTGAGAGGACGGTGGATGAGGGGTGGGATCCGGAGAAGATTGTCATCGGGCAGTTGACTGATCGGGGTGTGCATCAGCATGTTTCGCTGAACAGGACTGTTGTGCAGCTGAGGGGGAAGCTGGGAGTTATCGGGGGGATTATGGGGTGGGAGTACTTTAATGCTTTGCCGGGGGGGGCAGACGCGCCGTGGGAGTGGGCGCAGGTGATGACTCAAATCTTGAGGCCGGGTCTGGTTCCCGAGATGAAGATTGCAAAGGACGATGCGATCATGCTGATGGAGACGTGGGTAGAGAGTGCCTGGCCTGGGGCGGCGGTGATTTGTGCGAGTGTGGGAGGTGCTGGCAATGAGGCGTGCGCAGCCGACGCGGGTAGGCCGAATGTTGATTACATGGCCATGGTAAATGCTTAGCGGCTCGAGGGGAACCACATAGTATGTATGTTGTTTGTCCAGTAGTTTTTGTTTGCAGTAGTCAGTGTACTATCTTTTGATCCCAACACTCTCGTATCAATCATAGGTCCAGTTCTCGATAAGGTCCACACCAGCAACCACCTCATCGACAGGATATGCTTCCGCCCTCCCCGGTCCAACACTACCTTCGCTGTTAACCCTTGCCCTTGCCCCCCTTTCCCTTCCCTCCCTTGCCCTTGCCCCCCTTTCCTTTGCCACCACCCTTCCCTTTGGCTCCCCCCTTTCCTTTCCCACCACCCTTTCCTTTCCCTCCACCTTTGCCCTTGCCAAGCTGACGAGGGTGAACAGCTTGACGACGTTAGCTAACCTGTACTTCTCGTGGAACAAGACAAAACATACCTCTACCCACTAGGGACCCATGCTCGGTTTCATCCACAATCACATCAGCCGACAGAGTGTCGTCAACAGGGAGGACGACAGGCGGCGTTCCGGTCTCGTTGACCTCGGCGGGAGCAGCGTCTCGGAGCTGGAGCTCTTCTGATTGGGCTGGGATGCGGTGTCCAGTTGCGATGCTGGACAAAAGAAGGGCCACGAGCGCGGTGGAGAGGGATCTTGTGAGTTGCATTTTTTGTTGTGTGGGTTTTGATCTGAGGTGTCCTGCACCTGATATTGACAAACGATATGAACAAGAGATGATGGCCAGCAGTCAATGCCGTCGTAGAAGAGAACGAAGTGAGTGTGGTGAAGAAGCGAAAACGAAAACGAGAAGGCAAAACCAGACATGACCACCACTTATACCACCACTGAAACCCTTTGCCTCCAATCCCAGGCATCTCCAGTCGAGCGGATCATCGCCTCCCCGGGTTTGTCCTCCGATCGTCAAGACCAATCGCTTGGCGACGTGGCGCTTCCCCGAACATCTTGACAGTTTGGTGGCGTCTTTCTTTTTCTTGTTTTGCAGGAGTCCATGTTTCGTCTTGTGGCTTTCGAGCGCGTCAATGAGTCGCGCAAAAATGCAGGGGGTCGGATGTCGGTCTGAGCCTGAAACTCCGTTTTTGGAGGTCTGTGAACTCAAAGTCGCTCTGCCATTTCCACCGATAGTAAGTAATAAATCTGCCGCGTCCACTTGTGGCTGGGTAATTTGTCGCGGGATAAACTTGGCAGAGAGCGTGTCAGAGAAATCGGTATGCATTCCATCATAGTCGTGTGGATCCTCTGGATCAAGATACACCACCCGAATCTCTTCCAGGTTGGTCATGCGTCTCAACACATTGTCCTCCAGCCCCTTGAACAGCTTCCAATGCCTGTCCAGCTCCTGTTCCAAGGGCAGAGTGGAGTGAGTCACTTGCGTATCCTTGCGAGTCTATCAACCTGATTGTCTACAACCCGGGTGCCTTTTGATGTGCAAATCGAAGGGCTTTGAGGTAAAATTCGCCACCTGACTCGTTTGCCCCCAGGAAGCCCCGTGGAAAGGCCCAAACAGTTCGTCCCAAAAATCGTAGTTTCCTGGATCATTGAGAGGGAGGTTTGTATGGGAAGTGGATGGCGATATGTTGTACAAATCTTGCATTGGGCCCAATCTGTCTGAAGAAGAGCTCGATTGCCGGAACGCGTATCTTCTAAAGGTTTATCCAACACCTTTCTTCGTCGGTAATATCGCTGAAACAGCACAGGACATCATGAAAGGCAAACTTGTTTTTCGAGTAGAAGGCCTGTGTGGCTGTGAAGTGGCGGCGCTTCGACTTTCAAAAGCTTTGTGGGTTTCTTGCGCCTGTGGACGGGTCGAAGCCGAGCAGAATCCTTCACAACCTCGCCAATGTACAGTGGACGGTGTATGATGAGGGGTTTGGAAAACATCATGAGCTGTATCTCGGCCGGGAGATGCAGCAAGCTCGTTGCGATGAAGATGATGAAGATGAAGAAGATGATGAAAAGGTTGAGCAAATGCTGGGAACAACACATCAAGGTTCACGTGTTGGGCAAAACGCACGCTACGGCAACGTCACGTGATGTATTTGGGTCCCTTGATCATCCCACCTCAGTTTGGCGCGTGAAACACGAAAGTCGATGAACCACTCGTCGCTGGGCAACATGTGCCACAAACTGTCGCCCCTGATGAAGAGGAGGTCGCGGCGCTCGCTGACGGTCTTGATCGTTCCCGGTTGCAAAAGCGCCTGACGCCGGTATTCCTTTCTGTAGCTATATACCTACAAACACGTGCTCCAGCCGGGTCATCTTGCTGAACAGTTCCTCGTCCAAACCTCTGAAAACCTCTGCGTGTCGGGCCAACTCGTCCTCGGTGCGGAGAGAGTAGGTTCCATCATGAAATCCTCCGAGTCGACTATATGGATTGTCCTGATTTCAGGGGGCAGCCTCATATGCCCCGTTGAAGGGTTTGGAGGTAATGCCTGCCACCTTTTTGGTTGCCTCCCATCCAAACTCGGTTGCGATTCTCCAGGTGGTGAGGAGGTCCGTGTGGGAAATGAAGGATGATGTAGTCTTGGGCAGCGGTGAGGCATGCCCAGAGCAGGACCGTGAGATTGGAGAGGAAGAGTTGGTTGTTCATCTTGATGGTGATCAGACGGCGCGAACAGTGTATGCCGAACGGCGTACCCTGTCCTGTTGAAGGTTGTGAGACAACTTGTGGAAACCCGTCAGTATCTGGCTGGCATCTTGAATGCTATTTTGGATCGTTCCCTTGTCAAGCAGGAGCTGAAGAGTCGTTACACGGAACTTGAGGAAGAAGCTCCTTACCCAGCAGGGTACGGGTGCCACGTGGAGACGGCACATCAAGATTCTCACTTTCGTATCTGCACCTGGTGATATGGACGACGGCTAGCCTCGCGGAGTGAAGGTGTTTAACCGCCAATGCCTTGAGCGAGCCATGTGTCTAGTAAATGTTGATCAAATTGATCAGCAATGGCCAGAGAGACCAAAAAGGCACCGGCAGTAAAGGTATCTTTTCACACGAACGTCTCAAATTGAACACCCTGTGTTCTATCCCTAGGCACTATCTACACATCACGCCCTCCCAAAATCAAACCTCCTCTCCATCCAACACCCTCGTAAAAATATCCAAATTCCCCTCATACACCACCCTGGGCTCATACACCGCAAACGTCACCCCCCTCCACCAATTCCCCGCCCCCCCAAACTCCTTCTCCCTCAACACCTCCAACCAGCAGTGCGCCACATCCTCGGGCGGGTTCTTGAAAACCCCACACCCCAACGCGCCCAAGATGATCCTCCTATGCCTGTACGCCGCCGCCAGCCTCAGCACAAGCCTCATCTTCTTCTTCGTCATGTCCCTGTCAAAGTCCCTGGCAAAGTAGCTGAAAAACTCCGGTTCGCCAGGGGCGTGCTTGTCATACTTGATCTGCATCGTCGGGGGGGAGTGCACAGCTGCAACGCTAAAGACAGAGACCACCTTTGGGTCCGCTACCACGTCCCGGAGTGGGATCAGCCCGTGACCCCTTTCATCGGCCTCACGGATGACGAGAACGTAAGGCGAGTACAGCGCCGCGGCGGTGTACTTGTCCGGGCTGATGGGGTAGAGCTCCCTCTTCAGGCTCAGCGACAGACTAGACCGGTAGCAAATCGCCTCCTCCTGCGCCATGGCACCGTTCTCCCAACCCCCACCCGGTCGGCTGTCGTTCGCAAAGTTGATCACCGCCGGGAGGGGACTGTGAGCAGGACTGTCGTTCTCCGTTTTGAGCACGGCCATCTCCCGAATGGCAGCATCAAGAGTGTCCATATTCACAACTTTGATCTTGGCCTTTCGCGCAAAGTTCGGGCAGAGGTTGGGGTCAAGACGGGGAAACGACTCGAGAGTAAACTTGCGGGCTTTCGCCGCCTTTGTCATCAAGGATCCGTCAGCTTGGAGTCCCGTGAGATACTTGGGGAGGACGAGCTTGGTCTGGTCTGCGGCCGTGCGCAGCTGGTCACGGGTGCTCATCTTGCGTTCTGGCCAGGCGAGGAACGAGGGTGGCACGTGTGGCGATTTTATCGCTGTCGGTGCCGGGCTTGCCGGTACGGAGGGCGGGATAAGCCGTTCTAGTTGAAGGGGCGCTGGTACAGTCTGTCCTAGCCTCGTTGGCTTTGAGACAGCCGTCGACGTTGGGCGCAGAATGGGATTTGATTTGGTTGCTGTGGCCAGTCATGTTAGTCGACACATGCACCACCTCAGAGTCTTGGGAACTTGCGCTTTTGGGTATTCGTTGAGATTGTCCTGCCCCCGTGTGTTATTGGGGGTTTTCCGAGAAAAGATGAAGTTGATGTGCTGGTTGCGACACCTCCCGACGGACTCGCTCCTGGCTTCTCACCCGGTGGGTGCTTTCTGCTGGGCTTCAGAGGATCTTTTTCAAGATATGTCGTGGCCACAGGAACTCTGCTTGGTGTGCCTTGAACAGCCGGGCTACTCGCAATAGCATTCACCAAGCCGATAACTGCAGCTGCTGGATCGGGGGGCGGGCCTACAGTTGTTTGATTACTAGTAGGACGGTTCTTGAGGATTGGCTTGATCGGAGGCTTTGTCCGCGGACCCTGGTTACTAGAGCCACCTGGGGTGCTGACAGCGGTAGGGGGAACCGGCACCGGGTCTACAGTCGGGTGGGGCCAAGAGGTGGTCGGTGATGGTGGCCTAGGAGGGGATGGTGGCTTGACGGCAGGTGGTGGTCGAGTAGTAGTAATTGGGAGTGCTGGCTTAAGAGTCTGGAGTGTTGGCTTGACACTCTGGGGTGCTGGCTTGACGGTTTGGGGTGTTGGCTTGACAATCTGAGGTGTTGGCTTAGCAGTCCGAGGTTGTGGCTTGCTGTGCAACAAATTCGGATCTAGCACAGATGTGATGCGTTGGCTGGCAACAGCTTGCTCAGCAAGCAGTTCAGCCTTGGCTTTTGCTGCAGCTTCTTGCAGCCGCCTCAAACCAAGAGAAGGTGGGCCGATAGACTGCTGAACCGGGGGAGTCGGTCGGGCGGGAGCCGGTCGGGCGTTGAAGTTATTACGGAGTGGATGGGAAGGAGTTGAGGTTGCCGTTCCACCTGGCTGTTGCCTCTGAGTGTTTGGTGTTGCAGCGTGTTGTGCGTACAGAGTAGGTCGTGCTCCAATCTTTACTGGGCTGTGAACCGGGGACGAAACAAATTCCGGGTTATACCACGAAGGTCTCCCCGTCGTGGGTTTGGTGGGTGATTTTTTAGGCCCCATTGTCGCGGCTGCCTAGTAAACCTAGCGTAGTGTCACAGTTGCTCACGTGATCCGTCCCTGACCGATTGAGAATACGGAGATGTTTTCCTGGGGCAATTCACTTGTAGCGATAAACTCAGTCTTGATGTTTTTCTTCTGAGCATGATGTCGCCGTCAACAAGTCATTAATTGTTTTATCGAGTACATGGAGACAAAGACCCGTCTCACAGAACCCTGCTCACACTCATCTTGCCTAATCCGATCTTGCAAGACAATGCAACAAAGAACTTTTCTGCCTACCGAAAGCGGACCATGAGGACGGCAAGCAATATATGCGTTGTCCTAGTAGAAAATAAGGTTCAATGGGCACTTGATGTTGAAAGGGATTGCCATTCTCACCAGACACTCGGCGCGTCTTGTACCCAACGGCCACGTCGTGCCATGCCCGCAATACAGCAAAAGGCCAAGGTGAGTAAACTGTTGATGATTCTCACTAGAGGGATGGTGCGGGATGGTGCGGGATGCGACGCTCCAGAATTGACCCAGGTGGACAACTTCTGGTGCATAGGTGCGTGGTTCCCTGAGGTGTAAATGGTGTCAAAGAATCAGGTACTGGCCCATTGGATACAAGGTCAGATGCGTCCCCAACCATCATCATACTTTGTTGTAGAATCCCCGACTCGGAGCTGAACCAGACGGTCCCCCCCAACATTGATAGACCGACACATTTCTCTAGATCAATCCTCATCATGCATCATAGGGAGACCGCCAATGGGTCAACAGCAAAGATCTAGCGACTGGTATGTCGATGTCTGGTACCTCCCGCCGTCGGGCAGCTCGAGGCTGAGTGATCAGGTTCAACTCCGAAGTATCACGACGTTCACCATAGACAGAAGAAGGTGGAGGCAGCCGACCGCTGATTGATAATGATGTTCGTTTGAACGAGTGGTCAGGTCGGAGATGACATATTGTACGGCTGCCTTGAATCGAGGGCGGCTGAGCCGGTTGGTGTAAGCTTCCGCCGTGATGTTGAGCATCGTGGTGCTTTTCGGGGGTGTTCTTTCCAGATGTGCCAGTCCAGGACTCGAAGATGCCCGATTCTGTTCCCTTCAAGTCGGTCTGCTTTTCGCAACAGTATTGGTGATATTGATATCATGGAGTATCGTACTCGTTCGTTGCTTGTACTGAACATCAGCTATATGCTACCGTCACAAAAGACACTTGTTTGAATGTATCACTGCCCATTTCTCTCTTGACTTCTGCATGCCGTCGAAAAAGACCAACTCCCCTACACCGAAGGCTGTCGAACACACCCCAAAACCACATCATAGTCTTCGGGTCAGGCTTCTTCAACAGTCGTCCAAAGAGTCCGAGATCCGGCTGGGCTCCACCGCCGCCGCCATGAGAGACGACATTGACAAACGGGTAAACATCCACGGCATCCCACTGGACAACACCTCGCCTCGCTCCGTGTTTCTTCCCCCGCTGCAGGGACCACATGCACGGGCGAAGTCAATATGACAGCTGAGCGGCAACAAAACTGATCTCGTTAAAATGACAGATCGGGGAAGGCGGCTCAGCCCTCAGGTACCAACCCCTGCCCGTTGGCTTCAGCCCCTGAACCCCTAACACACCCCGCATCTTCAGCCAAAAGACCGCGTTGGCAGAAGACCATGTGGTGCCAAGTTGGACAGAAAAGCTTGGTTTGGATCAAGCACTGGAGCAACCTTGGCCATCAAGATCATGATCGGCAATCCGTGCCAAATGCTCGGGTCCAAACGGTTTGTGGGCGATCAGGTTCCAGACCGCAAGACTGCAAGACTGCCAAGACTCTGACTCTTCACAACGGATTCGATAGATCGCGCCATGCGTTGAAGCGCTGATGAATTGTCGGAAAATTAACAGCGCCCACTGCCTTGACGTTCGTGCAGTTCTTCACCATGTCCGAAAAGGAAATTGCAAGTGAGGGTGAGCTCGCAGAAAACAGCAAAGCGTCAAGCCATGGTGCCGGGCCAGAACCAATGGCGACCTCGACGTCAGGGGAGAAGCGCAAAGCTCAGGTAGCGCCGTAGGGCTGTCAACAAACACCGACAACAGCCACGCTCAGAGCGGTCAGTACAGGGTTTAAGCCGTCTGGACCCCATCGCCAGCAAAACCTCGCTTTTGGCCAGTCTCTTTTCGGCATTCGAATAGCGGCGGTCCCTCTTTGGAAAGCTTCGAGGCTGAAATACCGACGCCATTGAACGCCATCATCAGTGTTGTCATCCAGGGGTCCCAGCATCATGACCTGGCAGGCTGACTTGGGACTGGCCAAGCCCGACGGTGGTGATGAGGCTTTGCAGAATGACCGCATCCAGATCAATATCGAGGAGCAGCGAGCAGAAGAAACTTGGGGATATAAGATGCCGTCTCCCTCGTCGATTTTCTGGTGTCTTTTCTTCCGCAGCAGCTCGCTCGACAACGCAGCAGTTCGTCCTTCGATCAACAGCTTCACTGCCTCTCGTTTGCAGCCAGCACCACCGCAACCATGAAGCTCAACGCGACCCTCTTTGGTCTCACCGGCCTTCTCGGCCTGGCATTGGCCGCCGTTCCGATTAAGAACGATGGCATCTCGGCCGACATTGTTGTGCCCGAAAAGTACATCGTCAAGTACAAGGCCGACGCCGACGCTGGAAGAAAGAAGAAGCACGAGTCCGACATCACCAACAAGGCCAAGAAGAAGAACAAGAAGGGTGTTGTCGAGTCCATCAACATCGACGGCCTTTCGGGATACGTTGCCGAGATTCCCGACTCGGAACTCAAGGAGCTGAGGGATTCCGACTTGGTGAGTGGGCTCTGACCCAAGCTTGGGAAAGATCATGCTGACAACCGGCCCAGATCGAATACATCGAGAAGGACACCGTGATCCAGATCAACGCCGTCGCCGCCCCTCGGGTCGCCGCTGACCCTGTCGAAGAGAAGCACCAGCTTGCGAAGCGTGCCTATGTCACTCAACTCCACGCCGCTTGGGGCCTGGCTCGCATCTCGCGCCGTTCCACCTGGAACTCCGGCTACTACTACGACAACACCGCTGGCCAAGGTATCCGTGTCTATGTTCTTGACAGCGGCATCCGCACCACCCACGTCGAGTTCGAAGGACGCGCCGTCTGGGGCGCCAACTTCATCGCCGGATCCCCCAACACTGACGAGTACGGCCACGGCACCCACGTTGCTGGCACCATCGCTAGCAAAACCTATGGTGTTGCGAAGAAGGCCACCGTTGTCGCCGTCAAGGTCCTCGACAAGAACGGCTCCGGCACCATGTCCGGCCTGATCTCCGGCCTCAACTGGGTTGTGAACAACGCCAAGGCCCGCGGCATCGCCAAGAAGGCCGTCATCAACATTTCTCTCGGTGGTGGCTACACTGCCTCCGTCAACGCTGCTGTCAAGGGTGCCACTGATGCTGGCCTCACCGTGGTTGTGTCTGCCGGCAACAGCAACGCCAACAGTGCCAACTATTCCCCTGCCTCGGCTCCCTCTGCCATCACCGTCGGTGCCATTGACGGTACTGGATACCGCGCCTGGTTCTCCAACTGGGGTAACCTCGTCGACATCTTCGCCCCTGGTGTCTCCGTTCTCAGCGCCTACCACACCAGCAACACTGCCACATGGTACATGGACGGCACCAGCATGGCTGCTCCCCACGTTGCCGGTCTCGCTGCTTACTTCATCGCCAAGGAGAACCTGTCGGGCTCCCCTGCTGTGACCAACCGAATTCTTGGTGCGGCTGTCACCGGTAGTATCGGGGACCCCAAGGGCAGCTGGAACCGCCGTGCTTACAACGCCGGTGGTGCCTAAGCATGAGCCGCTGGTCTTAGGTTGTTTCGTTTGCGTGTTTCTAGATTTTCTTCTATCGCCTAGTCATGACTTTGATGCGGGTTCTTTCGGGAGGATGGAGAAGAGGGAAGGATTGTTGTTGGTCGTCGCTCCTTCAGTGTCCGGTTTCCTGTAATTGTACTTGTTATCGTCGATAGAGTTATGGGAATCGATTCTCCCGTGGTCAAACTCTCGTATTCCCGGTCTAGGCCCATCCTCGATGTAGTCGTAATGCCGTGCTTGGCCAGCTGCAAGGCGCAAGGTGGTAATCTTGGCCACGCCTAAATGAACTTCATGCCGCCACGTTAGCAGGCCACACGGCAGAGCAATGTGTGGGGGTAACAAACCTCTTGGATTTGTCAACTGCCCTTCATCTCTGCCGCAACTTCTGGAAACGCCAAAGTCATCAGACTCTAGTCGACTTGCTGTGAACATGACCGCTACAGGGCCTTCTCCCGTCATTGCTGACCCCTCTCCGCTGGGTTCCCCTCTCCCCTTCGAGTTTTCTGGCCGGACAGCGCCTAACCGCTTTCTCAAGTCGGCCGCCACCGAAAAGGTAGCCACCTATGACCCAAACGACAGGCTCTCCAACGGCATTCCCAACGATGAGCTGTTCCAGCTGTACGGTACCTGGGCGTCAGGCGGCTTCGGCACAATTGTAACCGGCAACATCCTCATCGACCCTGACCACCTCGAGGGCCCCGGTAACATGATCATCCCCGTCGACGCACCGCTTGACGGTCCCCGCTTCGAAGGATTCCGCCGTCTGGGATCTGTCGGAAGACAACATGGGTCTCTCTTTATCGGCCAAGTCAACCATCCCGGCCGCCAATGCGTCTACGCCCTGCAACCCAATCCCATCTCAGCCTCTGACGTTCAACTGCTCGTCGACATGTTTGGTGCAACCTTTGGCAAACCGCGTGCTGCCACCATCGAGGAGATCCAATCGACCGTGGCGGCCTTTGTCCATGCGGCGGTGTATCTCGACAAAGCAGGCTGGGACGGAGTCCAGCTTCACGGTGCCCACGGGTACCTCATCGCACAATTCTTGTCCTTGACCACCAACCTCCGCACTGACGCTTATGGCGGGTCCCTTGCCAACCGGGCGAGGATCATCACCGAGATTGCCGCTGGCATCAGGGAGCAATGTCGAAAGGACTTTATTCTCGCCATCAAGATCAACAGCGTCGAGTTCCAAGCCGATGGGTTCACCGTTGAAGAGGCGTCCGAGCTGTGCGAGATCTTGGAGAAGGCAGGCTTCGACTTTGTGGAGCTCAGCGGCGGAACATACGAGGAAATGGCGCTGGCGCACAGGCGAGAGTCGACCAAAGCCAGGGAGGCATTCTTTTTGGATTTCGCAGAAAAGATTGCGCCGCGCCTGAACAAGACCAAGGTCTATGTGACTGGGGGTTTCAGGACTGCCAAGGGCATGGCGGACGCGCTGCAGAGTGTGGATGGTGTTGGAATGGTGAGGGCTGTTTGCAACAATCCGAATCTTCCGGCCGAGATACTGGAGGGCAAGAAGACAGCTGCGCCGGTGATTGCTGGGGGGGTGTATTTTGACGATTTTCTTCTGACGGGGGGCTTGGCGGGGCTGCAGATGCGACTGATGGGGCATTCGTTGCCTGTGCTCGATGTTGAGGATGACGCAGAGGTCGAAGAGTTCAAGAAGGCGCTGGAGTCGAATCTGAAGGGACTTGTGAAGGGAGGGTTGTTTGAGAATATGGACCTTGGGTTTCTAGGGGCGAGAGGACCTGATGTTGAGAGAAGAGTGCGAGATATTCAGGCTTCCAGGGCCACACTGCGCAAAGGATAGTGGGGCTGGAAGTGTTTCTTCCCATCCCATGCCCAAGAAAGGGGTGATGCTTTGGGGTCATGCTTAACATATATGAGCCGCCCGGTGATATATTTCAGCAGTTTATATGCAAAATGGACAATTCGTTTGGCCATCGAGAGGCTCGTCACTACATTGAATCTCGTGGGTTAGGGTTGCAGCAGGGCATTTGGAGACCCCACTGCAAGTCCAACGCGTCTCATATTTGGTGATCTATCTGTGCTGACGGAAAGCCACCATGACCTCACATACACTGATTACATATACCACTTGAGGATGGGAAATGCCAGCCAAATGCCCTGTATCGTTCTAGATAACCTAGAATGGACTCCCTTTACTCCCATCTCGCTCAATCCCCATTGCTATGCTCCTCCACGGATCGTTGAGCCCATCCAGTCCTAACCTGCGCTCTCCCCCACAGCCCCAACTGCGGCGGCGATGCATTACCGACCGCAATCACCTCATCTTCATCAATGTCGGTGGAGTGATTACCCAAAAGAACGCTGGGCGCTTTTCCGGTACCCAAATATTCGAAAGAATCTGCCGTCGATACAAGGCCCTTAGTACGCGCAAGACTCATCTCTGTAAAAGGTTTGGCTCGATTGATTGTCAGGACCCAGGGTGCTTTCCCCCATGGTGGATACCTTTCCTCTGTTGCCTGTTTCACCTCGGCCTGCCATGGGAGGTGCGGTTTGGTAAGACGCCCTACCACGACAAGTGCGATTTGATAAGAGCTCCCAAAGCCGTGGGTGGCAGCTATGGGTAGAACGACCATGAGTCCAGAAAGCATCAAACTCTGTCGTTAAAGGAGGATTGGTGAATCGAAATATCGCAACCCTTCGGACACCCGTGTATTCCACTCAGGTCATCAACTTCGACAATCTGGACTTTCCAATGGCTACGACGAGGTGCTTGACAACACTACAATAACGTCCATTGAACACCCTGCCCCCATTTGCAGCGAAACGACTCTCATATGTTGAAACGATAACGAAGCAAAATGATGGTCTGGGTGGGATTCTGACCCACGACTCTTGCGAGACCAAGAACGCTTGAATGACCTCAGAAGAAAATTCAAGCATCAATCCGAACCTGGAAACTTGGACCAGAAATCGGGGCCCCAAGAGGTCAAGCTCCACGAAACAAGCTTGCGCCACAAGGATATGCAGGCGCCTATAGCATATTGGCTATCTGCAATCATCCTTCAGCCGCTCAAGGTTAGCTGCTTTGGGATGCCGATGCTCGCCGCATTGATGCCTTGTCAGATCAATGTGACTCCTCACGAAGAGCAGTTGAGAGAAAAGCTTCAGTCTTCCTCGTCCTCGATTTATTCCCCACAGCAAAGTTCTGTATCAGCAGGAAACATGGCCTACCAACAGCCTCAGTACACTTGCCCTGCACAGGGTGCTGCTGGCAGCAGCTACCAACTACCGCCACCTCCTGTCCCGCCAGCATATATGGACAACAGCCCCCGCAACCAACCTACGGATATGATCAAGCCCAAACGCCGGTAGGATGTCAACCACCGCATCAACAACAGCAAACATATCTACACCCACCATGGCTGGATTGGGTGCTCAAACCCGCCAGCAAAGAGACAAGACGGAAGGAGAAACCAAGATAATGGACACCAATGGCGGCTAGAAATGCAGACAGCTAGTTTTAATACACCAAAGAAATGACACATCGGACTTAGCACACCTTTGAAGCATGGCAAGCCCTCCCCCGGCAACACCACTCATATCCAACTCCACCTCAGCAACAGTATCAACACCAGCCTCAAGTCCAACCTCTCCCTCACAATCCCTTTCCCCCCGGAACATACCCCCTCCGCACGCTCCCCGGCCAACCCCTCTCAAAGCCAACCAAACTCCCCTTTCTCCCTCACCCTCTCCTGCCTCTTCTCCCCATCCCAACCCTGCTACACCCTAACCTACAATCCCACCGCCTCCTGCTTCTCCCTCACTCGCGGCCCACCTTCCTCCCCCTCCCTACCCATCGCAACGGCCTCCTTCCCCACCCTCTCCCTCAAAGAACCCCCCGCCTCCCTCGGTCCATACAACTATCTAGTCGACTCCAAATTCGTCTCCTTCTCCCTCCTCCCAGGCCAAAGGCTCATGTGGGCCATTTCAGGCTCTGGCCCCTCATCCGGCGCATTTGTCCCAACACCCGTGGGAAGGGAGCAGGACGTGATTGCGCAGTTTTTCGGGACCGACGCGGCGGGAAAGGTTGTGGTTTCGGGGGGAACGAAAAAGTATATCGAGGGGAGGATTGACTTGGTGAGGGGGTTGACGCAGGCTCAGATGGATGAGGTGGTGTTGATCTTGGGGGTTTGGGCTTTGAACGGAAGAGGAGGCAGGCGAGTGGTGGGAAGGCGGCGGAGGGGACGTGATGGAGGTCGGAGATTTTGAATGGTGTTTTGAGTGCTTGATTGAGGGAGGGCCACGGATTGGAGGCGGTTGGGATCGGGTTGAGGGGGGGGGGGAAGGATTTGTTGTCGGGGGAGGGGGTTTGTTGTCGGGGGAGGGGGTTTTAATCTGGAGGTTTCTTTGGTTAGCTGGTAGCTGTGGCTGCGGTGATGTCACTTTGTGTAATTCTTTCGATGACTCTCCACTAGGCGGTGCCGTGTTTTGCGTGTCTTTTTCTTCCCATGAATATTGCTAGAGCGAGCGGGTCGGTGATGACTTGTAAGTTGTCTGTGCTCGGTACAAGCTCAGACGTGCTTGATACAAACTCTGACACACCCGTCGTGAGCCCTGTGGAGGGCTATGTTGCTTGTCGGCACTAGAGTGCTGGGTGCAAGCTTAAAATAATTCCTGACGCCGTTGATGTTCGTAGCCGATCATTCGGAGCATATGTGGCAAGAGATGGAGGGGAGCCCTTCATGTTGATCATGTCGAGAACAGGAAGGAAATATCAGGAGGGTACACGGATGTTTGATTGAGGCCCGGGGTTGGCGGCCCTGTGCCGGAGTACCTCAGCTGCTCCACCACCGATCTAGAGCCGTGTTAGCAATCTTTCTACAATTGCTGGCGCGCCACTCCTAGCAACAACTTTCCAATGGTGGTCTCGCCAAGAGTCATGATGATGTCGGCAGGCTTTGGCCCCCCGGCTTGGAAAAGCTCGATAACTCATAACCCGCATGACGCTCGAATTCCTACCAAGGGTACGCTCATTGTTACTGGTACCTCGATCAAGAAACAACGATCTGACTTACCTGACGGTTCGCGGTCGCCCACAGTGCCAGACATGATGCAGCAGACACCTCGTGACATTTGTGATCTACCTTCCTTATCTTCAAAGACCCAATACGCATATATTTCAGGCCACTTTACTGAATTTAAACGCTCATGGGTTGTTTTGAGAGGCGTACACACTCTTTCCAATGGTTTACTAATTATCTTTCCATGCCCAAGAACCATTTGGAAAGGCCCGTCAACCATCTTTAATGGCCTGTTGACTATCTTCAAATGCCTATTAACTCTCTTTGGAGACCTACTATGCATCTATTCTTCATACCTAGTCCTTATCAAAACCCACATCAAGTACCTGGTCCGTCACAATAACGCCATCCCTTTAACCGGAACCCGTCCCCAACCGGACTACTCTGTTGGTTTCAGAAGAGAGGCATTTACTGATGACCAGCTCGCCAAACTGTCGCCATTCATTGGCGACTTCATCGCCGGGGACCAGTCTTTCTTCATGGCCACGTACTATATGTAGTTCCTCTTCCTGGCCTGTGAGGTGAAGTGCAGCGCCGCGGCACTCGATGTTGCAGACCGGCAGAACGCCCACAGCATGACACGTGCAGTGCGGGCCATCGTCGAGCTCTTTCATGCTTTGAATCGCGAGGATAAGGTCAACCCCCAGATTCTCGCCTTCTCCATCTCGCACGACCACCGGTCGGTACGGATCTACGGCCACTACCCGGTGATAGCTGGCAATGATACCATATATTACCGCCATCCAATCCATACTTACTATTTTACAACACTCGACGGAAGGGACAAATGGACAGCTTACCAATTCACCAAGAATGTATACGATACATGGATGCCCGCTCACTTCAAGAACATCTGCTCCGCCATTGATCAGTTACCCTCAAATTTGGACTTTGATGTCCCACCGCTTTCTGAGGCAACCTGACTTTCCCAGGACTTGGGGAGCCTGATGCCTGTTGTGCAAGACAGCCGGACAAGCAAGGCTGAGCTGCATGCGGTCACTCCGGACACCTCATTCGCAGGGTCGGGGGTGGCAAAGAGGAGGAAGGGAGCATTACCCGCAAAGTGATTCCCTGACGGGTCATCCTCGCGTGCCATCTCTCCTATGCCCTGAGCTGCAGATGACCTCTGGACGACGGGGTTAAGACGCATTCAGCGTGCCTCCACGCCTCCCACGGCCGATTTCCCCGTGTTCGGCTAAGAATGGCAGGCTGTCTCTTCGTAGCGGGCCTCCATTCCGCCAGCTACTCCACCGGGATCAAGGTTCTCAAGTTGATCCAAACCTTTCCACCCGTCATTAATATCGGACGCTGTCCCTGCTTGCCCATAACCCAGCCCCCAGCTGGGCGGGTGCAGCCCGAGTTATTTGGGGGGGTGTACTTCGATAAAGTTTCTTCTTTATACTACTATTAGTTATCCAAGAACTCCGCGAGCCTCTTTGCAGAAATTCTTCTTGGGCCTCGATGCCCGCATCGTCATCTTCGGGCATAATGCCACAACAACCCAGACTTCCCATGGAATCAACAACAACGCTCGCACTGGACATAGCAGAGGGATCTCTCCTCAAGGATGGCTTCTTGGCTTTTGATGACCCACTGGTTGGGGAAGGTATCGCGGAGATGGAGAAGAGAGGCTTCCCATACTTCACGGACTACGGCTCGGATTTCTGCGAAGAGTTCGCCTTTGATGAGGTAAAGAGACACAGTCATTCCATCTCATGGTAGCTACCTAACAAGCTTTAGCGCATCCGATTCATCTTCGAAGCCTCCTTCGAAAAATGCAGCCTTGGTCATTGGCTAAGATATGGGGAATTTCCTGGAAATGTTGAATGCTTTAGGAGGGGCGGACCAAAGGCCGGTCGCTACGTTCTGATGGTTCATCTGTGGGCCAAAGGATCGCAAGTAGCATATTATGTCGGTTCGCACCATCATAACATAACAACTTCGAGGGACAATCGGTCTTTATATGAGATACCGCTTTCTGAGCTTAATCGTGTCGGCTCTAAGCCTAAGCACAAAGAGTCCCCAGATAGTAGTTCATAAGTTACAGCTCTGTCTCGTGGTGTCGTATTCTTTCCAGTTGAGAGAAATTCCTGACTATGTTCGGACTTGCTTACACTAGTAGTCGGTCTCTAAAAGCTTTTTTGCCTCGTCTAAGAACGGTTAGCCCAAAATCAGGCTCGCTTCACCCTTGGCTCACCTTGAGCTCACCACCGCTTACCCTATACTCGCCATTCTCCAAAATCAATAACTTTACGCGACGCTCTCATAGTCCAAATTTGGAGCCCCCTCTCTTACAGGGACGAATCTTCCGCCAGAACGGGGACTAAGAAATGGGCTCGCCAGCGTATTTGCTTTTCATTTTAGGGGACTCTGGGTTGTGGTAGCCATTTTGACATAACAAAATCCATCACTCCCTACCTACCTACTGCGCGAGTTTTTTTCTTCTAATTCTGGCTATATTAAGAGGCTATTCCATCCGTCCTACCACCTACTATACGATTCTTCTCTCCCATCTCCCCGTGTCTATATTACTGCCGTAAAACCTTTCTTTCTATACTTAATCGTTATCGGCCTCACATTTTCGCTACACTAGCTCTCTACTATGCCTTCTATAATGCCGAGAAAGAAGACCCCTTAAAAGTTATTTCGCCGGGGAAAAGATAGGGGCTTAGAAAATTGTGCGGAGGAAATTGACGGCTCTGTAGTTTATAAAAGGTTTATAAATAAAGTTATGAAAGGTTATTAGCGTATACTTAATTTGTAGAATTAGTAAGGTCCTTATACTCCTACTAACTATCCGCTTTTAATATCCGTTTTAAATATATATTAAAAACTATTCCTGTACTAGCCTTTATAATTTTAAGACTCTAATGTCACAACCCTGGGATATAGACGAGAATAACGATTGGTTGTGGAACCACGGGAGCAGAGGCTAATCGGGAAAACACCCAGGAGAGCCAATCACAGGGAGGGACGGTGATTAGTGCGATCAGAGCACTAATCAGACTAAGCAGGCCAGGCCGGGGTGATTAGTGTGATCAGGACACTGATTAGGCTGAGCGTAAGTGATCAGTATACTCGGGACACTAATCAGAGGAATTACGGCTAGGAAAAGAAGTCTATATATACGGAGGAACTGGCTGCTGTAGATAGACAGTTCCGCAGTATGCAATTCACAATTGTATTCACGGTATCTTGTGTTTACATTGAGACATCTTGTTGTGCACTGTTTAGCTGCACCGAACCAATTGTCAGAAGTTACCTTCAACCCGTATCCCTTTCAGAGGTTCTGTACAGGGGTTCGTCACAATAACCCCCGAAAAACTAATTTATAATTAACGTTTATTAAAATTTATATTAATAATTATTAAAATTTATATTAATAACTATTAAAATAATTCCTTAACTTTAATATTAATTATAATAAATTAACTTATTAAAGGTATAACGGTTATAATACACTAGGTAGCTCTCCTTTATATAGAAATCTCTTCGCTCCGTAAAACTAATAAAGAACTAAGTAAACGCCGGAAACTAAAACAACACATATAAGGCTTAGAGGGTCACTTACTATACAAAAGGCACAGGATCTACTGGATCAGAAGGCCGTAGATAAAGAGGGAGTGTAAGAAACGTAGCCGGATAGTAATAATGCAGGGGAGGCTCGTACGAAGGTTCAGTACTGTAGTGTATACGGTAAGCCTGGCCATAATGCACGCACTTGCCAGGAGGCTGCAGAAGCATCTGATTCAGCTGTTTCTGATGTAATTATAGTTAATTCCTTGTGTTGATGTGGTGTAATTGAGGATAGTATTCGTAGGGTGGTAGAGAGTGCGCGACTCGCTTATATGCGGGACTCGCTTATAATGTACGTTAACACCTCTTGATGAAACGAGATACAACGTTACTTACTCCCCTGCAAGCTGAGACTTATCATGCCTGGGCCCCGAATCCATGATACATAGAAGTGAGGTTCAACTTGTAAGCAGCGTGCGGTCCATAAGTGGGATGAGCCAATAGGATGGCTCATTCTATCCCAGGCCAAAATAGCTTCAATCCATACCATTCCACGGTTCCATCTCACCCAGTGAGATGAGACGGTCTCATCTTATTGCCCACCCTGGTAGGAAACACTGCTTGACACCAACGACCCCAACGACTACCCGAACCTCGCGGCCGAATTCACCGCCATCAGCCTCGGCCACATGGACCGCATCAAGAAGGAACTCGACATGAAGAGGAAGCCTGGAACCATACGCCGTCCACAGGGAGAATATTCTGGCAAGTACTGGAACGAGATCAAGAACTTCTGCATCAAGATCATTGAGACGGACGGCAAGTTAGAGATGCGTTTCCAGGGGAGAGAGTCTGGGGCGTTTGAGCTTGCTCATTATGAGAATGATACGTTTACTTGGTGGATGCCGTATGATGAGATTGCTCGGCGGGGTCGGTATATTGGCGACTATGCTGCTTTGTATTACTTGATCAAGTTCTCGAGCTCAGCGGGGGGTGGAATTGACACACTGGGATGGGCTTGGAACCTCAACTTGCCGGATGAGATTGCTACTTTTTCAGCGGAGGGGAAGTGAGGGTGGTTGGGTTGGTACACGTTTAGTAAGATGGAGGGGGTGCGATTTTCATGTTGACTAAATCTTTGCTTTTCTCTTTAGGCTCGGGGGGGGAGCCAGAAGGATCTCAGGGGTGGATCTTGTTGAGTGTGTGAACCCAGAGAGTTAATTGAAGCATTGAATTAAACCGATCATATTCTGTGATAACGCAAAAGATGTGCGTAATGATTTCCAAGAACCGCGAGAGTGGATAGTAAGTAAGGTAGTAAAAGTGTTTCGAAAAGCCCCCTAATGCTCACAAAAGCTATACTCCTTCTCCCTCCACGTCGACTCGGCATTCTTTATAAACCCCGACCTCTCCTTCATCAACTCCAGACGTTGCTCCTCGGCCTCCTTCCTGCTCATCGGCAACCCATCTCCCAACTCCTCCCGCACCATCTCCACCAGCTCAGGGGGCAGTTTCCACCCCGAAGCCACTTTACCGCTCGCCATAGCCGCGGCAAGTTCCTCCTTTGCCAATCCCCTCTCAAGCAAAATCTGGGCCATCTCCGCCGGGATCTTTCCCTCAGACCCAGAGTCAGCTGAGCCGGCCCGGCGGCGGAACGTCAGTTCAGCCCACCACTCAGCCTGCTGAGGCGGGACGTTGGCCGTGCTGATGATCCTCGTGAAGGGATCAACAAGCCAGAGGGCAATAAATCGCCTGTGCCCCGGTCTGGTCGAATCAGCGAGCTTGAACCCAGAGACCCGATGGTGGAACACGTTGGGGAAAGCAAGCATCCTCCCCTGAGGAGTGAGCACGCTGCCGTAGTGCTGAAGACAAGCCGAGCCGGAGCCAGAACCAAAAAACGCGCCGTAGACGCTCTGCATCCAGTGAAAGCCGTCTTGTCCAATGTTTTCAAACGGGCCCTCGTCTTGTAGGTAATCGTCTGTGCAGGTGCGGAACTCGAGCTGGCTCTCGGTGATGTTTTCCGAGTCGAGGTAGTACAGCGCGGTGCCGACAATGTGCTCGTTCATCATGCCCTCGACGTGCCAGCCGCCAGCTGGGAACTCTGGCTTCTCGGGAGTGAGCTCGATGGAGGCCATCTTGACGATGATCTGAAGACCGGTGTCTTTGAACTTGTGGCGGAGGGTTCTCTTTGGGGTGACGTCGTACTTGACTTCGGGGATTTTGGACAAGGGCGGTGGCGGAGGGAAGACAGGCTCGCCTTTGTCCTCTTCGTCTTCGTCCTCTTCGTCTTCGTCGTTCTCCTCCTCCGCATCTTCCTCTTCCAAGCCCTCCTCGTCTGGATTGTGTATCTGCCAGTTTCCGACTCTCCCGACCCCCTGTTTGCTTTTATTGCTGGTCAAAGATTCCTTGGGCATCCAAAGCTCCTCATTTTCGTCATCAGGATTCTCAGGGATCATGCGAGGTTCCGTGCGGCCGGCGGCGATAGCCTTCCAACCACCATGGATCTGAGTCAGGCATTGGTCCCACATGGGCAGGGCCTTCTCAATCAGTTGTTCCAGGCTTCGGTATATGCCCTTGTACTTGACTGGGTGCAGGTTGTTGATATAACTGGTGAATTTCACCCCCCCCTCTTCGGTGAACTTGACGTTTGCCGGTAGCCACTGGTAGTCGTCGGACCAATAGCTGTATTCAACGTTTTTCCCAAACACAGACCTTCGAACGTTTGTCTGGGCACGGGTTTCGATCCACTTGGGGATAATAACACCCTTGCCAGCCCATTTATCAATGGCATCTTCCACTCCGACGACTTCGTCCTCGAAGAAACGCGAACGGCCGTAGACCAAGGGATACATGGATGGGTGGACAAGATCCTGGACCGTTTCGTTCGTGTTAGGATGCCAGTCTGGATTCACCGCTTGATCGGCCTGTAGACGATCAAACCCCTCTTTCAGAGCAGCCTGAAGCTGAGGAGACACAAGAGTGTCCGACTTGACAGCCATGTAACTGGCATCGAGGGTGGGAACGAGGGATGTCCTCTTGAAGTATTCGGCTTTGTGGCGGAGCTCCTCGATGCAGTACTCGACCGAGGCATGGTCGAGAACGTTTTTGGCTCTTTTTGGGTACCAACTGTGGTCTCCCGATGGGTCGCGTTGGATGTGGTCGATGCGGTTCCAGAGGTCCTCCTCAGGCCAGGCCAGAGCCTCCTTGCGCCACTTGTCGGCGATGGCATCGTCAAAGACCTTGACGTGCCAATCAGGCTTGTCGGACAGGCGGTCCATGACTAGCATCATGGCCACCTCCCGGACCGTGATGGGCGAGGATTTTTTCATGCAGTCTGGATGGATGCCCATGGGGTATTCGATGGCATTGTTGTCGGGGATGTGTCGCAAGTCTAGCTTCCAGCCAGGATAGCATTTTGCTTCCTTTTGTTCCATGTTGATGGCTGGTTTGTGGAATGGCTGGTTCGTGGAGGTAACGGCGTGATGCAGAATTGGCTGTCTAGAAGTCGGAGTGCTGAATGTCTTGACAGTCAGAAGTCGTCCAATATTTAACATGCTGACGGGGACGTGGTGTAGTTCTTGCTTCCCCTCATGATTGGATGGAGTTGTTGCTCTGCCTGAGGTTTGCCTGCTGGAGTGGGGATGATGCGGTGGTTAGCGCTGCTCTGCCTGGCCTGCTTGACAGGGGTCTTGACAACTGTTCGGAGAGTTCAATGCTGCCGCATCTGGAAATGGGTTCTTTTCTATACCCAAACGAGTCAAGGCCCGGTGACATGGTGTTGGAACAGAGTTGTTGATGTATTGAAGGAGAAAGTAGCTACTGAGTGCTACGGCAAGAGAAAAGAAACCAGCCCAGGTTGGCCCTGCTCGGCCAAATTCGGCAGCCAGAACAGCAAGTTCTGTACTCAATCTGTAATTCCCCAGTTTGTTGTCTTCCAGGAGGAACAAAGCTACCTATCTGCTCTACTGTATTATCAGTACCTATCGATTGTTGTTATCTTTGACGACGGGACGTCGGTGGATACCAGTCGTCAACCATGAAGTCTTTCTCATTGGTCATACCATTTATAGGTAGTGCTTGGCATCCGCTGCTCTCACCAAAACCTACGCGGGGCTGCCCACACACTTCAATGCCACATCATGAAGTCCTCAATGGCGCCTGGAATTCTCATCACCTGCCTCGCAGGCATTGGCGCAGCAGCCGTGCTCCGCGTATTGTACTGGGCATCGCAGTTCACCCTCTACCACTTCTGGCGACCTTCCAAACCCCTCGCGGCATACAAACGCGCCAGCGACGACAGCTACGCGCTCATCACCGGAGCCAGCGCCGGCATCGGTCTCTCCATCGCCCGCAACATTGTCAGACAAGGCTTCGGCGTCGTTCTCCTCGGCCATCTCCCGGACGAGCTCGAGTCGGCGGCCAAAAGTCTCAATTCCCCGCTTGTGCGAACTCTCGTCGTCAACGCCCGCACCGCGACCCCGGAGGAACTCGAGACGGCGGTCGAGTCAATCTCGGATCTCAACATCTCGATTCTCGTCAACAATGTCGGCGGTTTCCCCATGGCTGATCCGCCGTTGCGACCTCTTAGCACCCTCAGCACGGCTGAAGTTGACGCCTACGTTGACTTAAACGCGCGGTTCATGGCGCGACTTACTAACCTCGTCCTGCCACTCCTTTCGTCAAGTTCTACAAGAGAGAAACATGAGCGGTCGCTGATATTGAACATCTCTTCGGCCGGGAGGGTTGGGATGCCTTGGATCGTCATGTACAGCGCCACCAAGGCGTTCAACTACGCCTTCAGCATGGGACTGTCGCGGGAGTTGGAGGATGACTCGACTACGGCGCATATCGACTGCCTTGCTGTTACGCTTGGTGAGGTGCAGAGTCAGGCGAATGTGATGGCGGAGGGTGCGGTGACTGCTGAGAGGTTTGGGGGCTATGTTGTGGGGGGTATCGATGGGGCGGTGAAGCGGGGCTGGAGGGAGGTGAGGCCGTACTGGGGGCATGATCTCGCGCTTGGGTTGGCCGATCGGGTGTTGCCTGATGGGATGCTGACACATTTCGCGAGGGAGGAGCTGAGGTTGAAGAAGGAGAGGTGGGATGCGATTATGGCCAAGAGGCGCTGATTCGGGCGGTGATGGTGTGGAAACTGCGCTGTATTTACATCGTAGGCAGGTATTGAATTCTACACACTTACCAAAGAGATCACTCCAAGCCTGAAGCTTTCCAGTGATTACACTCCGCAGCTTGCCTTCACAGCATTTTGTAAGAAGGATTTGAAGTCTTGTTTATATTGTTGATGCTAATGCTGTCTTGTAGGCTGATGATCATATCTGCCCACGCCTATCTGTCCCGCCCAAATACTCGAGTTCATCATCACTCGCACCTTCGAGCAAAAAGAAGTGGTCGGGTTGACGGTTCATGATCTACCTCGTGCAGTCCCGCACATGAGCCAGGCTATCAAACCTCTCGTCCGTGACGGCTCGAGTCTCCCAAATTCGCCAGTATTTCTGCCAGTAAAACAACCAGTGAACGACGTGCCATCTCCGAGACGCCCAGAAAGTGCCGTGTGTGCCTCCCAAGGCGGCGACCTCCGCGAGAGTAAGAGAGGGACTGTTCCTTCTTTGTTAGCAAAGTATGGCCATGGGCCATGGGCGTTGGTGCCTGACGAGGATGCTATGACTAGGTACTAATTCTCAGCTTAGCAATGTGGGAATATAGTAATATGGGAATGTGCTAATGTGCCAATGTACTAATGTAACGAGCAAACTCACGCTATTTCTCTCGGTGAAGCGCATCAGGCCGTCAAGAGTAATGACCGGAAACTACTGCGATTTTTAAATCTCTGAGGAGAGCGTGAAAAGCGCGAGGACGATGGGTATCTGATGTGAGTACCTGTTTCTAACACCAGAAGGTAACTGATGATCGGTTGCACCTAACGCCTACCTCCCATGAAGCAACACTAGTAGCACCGAAGAAACTCGGATTTGCCCACACCGACACTGCTACGAAACATATCTACTCGGTTCTCGACCACCGTAAGATGCCATCGTCACATCTCGATACGCCGGCGACGTGGCAAACCTTAGGGTTCAGGCTGGAGAAAGGCAATACACAACTAGATCCTCTGTACGTGTATGGGCTTTCCTATCTTTCCCTTGCGCCTGCTAATTTTGAGACGGTCCCTTCAGCCACAGCATGCGTTGCCTTCGCTTCTTCAACCTACATACTACTCATGGCCATCTTCATGCTGCCCCCGTGGAAGCAACTGGATCACACTCTCCACAACAGGCGCGATTCCCAAGTTCAAATGGGTATTACCTGAGTTGCTGATTTATGAATTCTTTGCGTTGACAAGATATCTCAACGCTGTGTATCCAACAAGGTCAAAAGAGTTGGGTGGTTAGACTTACCAAACCAAGGATGGATCAACACCCCGAGGTTGTGCGCCCATTTACCTTAACCATCCAGTTCTCGGTATCCACCATTGATCTAGCTAATGTCAGGGTTTGGACCACCCCAAAACCTTTTTGAAGAAGCGGTTTGGGGAGGATATCTGCTGGAAGGCATCGAATCTCACTGTCACTCCGTCATTTGGAGAATTGTTCGAGCTATGGAGGCGCAATATCGGGATTTTCCTCTTTTTGTTGGTGCCTACCGCGTGGTTAGCACGGTTACTGATAATCTACATGCGTTTAGCATTCTCAATTCAACCTCACGTCGACATGACTAGGTATCGATATGAGATCTCGAGCTTCTCAATGTGGCGGAGCGGTGTCATGAAGTTTGTTCACCGCATCGTTGCCTTGCCGTCGCCATTCCCAGATTTTCCTAATCCGATGTAAACAGCAAGGCGGGGATCGGGTCAGGGGTTGAAGAACAGGCTCACGGTGGAAGTTCGGGCGTGAGGGGGTGAGGACATGGGTGGGGTGCTCGGACCCGCGCCATATGGATCTCATTGCGGGACGGAACAACTTTTGACGACCACCTCCCACAAAAAGAATAGTCCCATGAGCTCACTTCCCTCGTCTAAGTACATCAACCAATCAAAGCATTAGTGGTTTAGTGGTAAAATCCATCGTTGCCATCGATGGGCCCCGTGTTCGATTCACGGCTGATGCATCTTTTGATGGTTGGACATTGCACCTCCTTCTTGACCCGAGACTGGTTTAGTTTTTCAAGCATAGCGGTGATGGTTTCTTGCCATCGCGAGGTGCACTGGTGGGTCTTGGGAGTGATGTGAGGTGTGTGGGTATATGGTTATACGAGTAAATGTAAAAATATATTTTTGTATTAGTTTTTTAGTTTGTTTAAGAAATAATTTGTGGGATGGGTGAAGTGAGAATGTTAACTATAGTAGAGATTTGTTGTTATAAAGTGTTCGCCAAATATATTTCTACAGGCAGGAATATATAGATGTTTATTTAGTTTGCTGTTAATTCCTGGATAAAGATTGGGCGTCTAAATGTCTTTGTGTAAGTTGTTTACAAGGAGGCATTAAAGCTAAATATAGAACTGTCTACTTCGCAATAGAAATGCGAGCCTAAAGTTCGGCGTATTCTTTTAAAAATCTCTATTTAATGTATTACAGTTTTATCTTTTTTAAGTTTAATTATCTAAAATCACTAACGTATTTGATAAGCGAGCGGATCGGACAAGCGAGTGGATCGATTTCTACTACCCTATTACAACTATCCTCAATTGCAAAACAACAATACTACTAACCTACTACAATTACATCAGAAACAGCTGAATCAGACTCTTCTGCAACCTCCTGGCACGTACGGATATTATAGCCAGGCTTGCCACACACACCACAGCGCCGAACCTTCGTATGAGGCCCCCTGCACTACCGCCATCCGGCTGTATTTTATCCACTACCTCCCCACCCACGGCCTTCTGGTCTAGTAGATCCTGTGCATCTTACACAGTAAGTGATCCTCCAAACTATATACGTGTTCTTTTAGCTCTCCGGCGCTTACTTAAAGCCTCGTTAGCCTTACGGAGTGAAACGTTCTCTGCACGAAGGAGAGCCACTGTGACGAACCCCTGTACAGAACCTCTGAAAGGGATACGGGTTGAAGGTAACTTCTGTCAATTGGTTCGGTGCAGCTAAACAGTGCACAACAAGATGTCTCAATGTAAAGACAAGATACCGTGAATACAATTGTGAATTGCATACTGCGGAACTGTCTATCTACACCAGCCAGTTCCTCCGTATATATAGAACTTGGGACCTTAAGGTGCTCGCCCTGCTACGGCCCCGATCACCCTTAGCACATTGCATCCTGCGATGTGCTCGTCGTGCTATGCCTCCGATCATCCTTAGCATCTTGCATCCTGCAGAGTGCTCGTGGGTCTTGGCGCCATAGCACTTTCGGCACATCATCTTCCTTGAGGGTCGGGGAGAAAGGTTTCGCGTGAGGAGCAGAGTTATTCCGGAGGCTGAAGACGCAGAGAGGAGATTGTGAGCAAACACCGGAGGCGGTACGATGGTGGGGACGTTCAAGTCGTACATTTTGTAGATACCAATCCCTTGGACGGAAACGATAATGCAGGTCCAGACGAAGCTCACCAAGGCCGCACCGTGAACGATCATCGGCATTGGGTCATAGTGAGTAGTCATCGAAGGGAGAGAACAGCAAGGCGCGTAGAAAATTAGGAAAAAGGGCAGTGATCGTGATCAGCAGCTCTGCTGACGGGAGATTTCGGCGACACAGGAATATAAAAACAGAGGCGCATGGCTGCAAGTTGCATGTCGGAACTCGGAAGCTAAGTCTTATGTGGGGCATCATTGCCCTGTCTATTCAACCCTCGCACAGCAAAGAACAATTAAAACTCGCAATGTGATCAATCATTACAGGCATGGGCTCGGTAAAATGAGGGTATTTTGTGCATCTATGGAGGCGTCGGGGACATTTTCTGCACTAACACCTCCAGTAGCAGTCCATCCGTCGGCTCTGTATGTAAGAATTTCGTCAGTCATCTGCCATATCTTCTAGACAGTCTTCAAAGGGGGATTAACTTACCGGTTGAAGATGATTAATACCATCCCACGAGTTCTCATCCCATGCTCCTACCCGACAAAACGGCATTCTGCTTTCGTCCCTGTTCCCGCTCGACCAGTGCTGGTTGCCGGCTGTGAAGTAAAGATCAAACGACATGAACAGCCTCCTTCTCTCGAGGTTCTCGCCCGGTGCCGGCCTGTCCCTCTTGAAGTTCACAGCTCCCTTTTCCTTGCGAATATCAACCTGAAGATCCGTCGGGAATCTCGAGCTTGCCTTGTACCACGTCATCGAGATGCCAAAGTCCGTATTTGCCGATTCGTAGTTCTGTCGTACTTCGTTGATATAAGAAGTGACTTCCATAAACATTGCGTTGGCGTTAGAGGTCCAGCTGAACCAGTGGTGCTGGGCGATGTGGATGCGACATGTGGCTGGCTGCGGCGCTGCTGTTGGGGTAGGTTGTGCCGTGGGAGTAGGGACTGCCGTTGTCGGCGCACAGATGGTGACGTCCTCGCAGGTCTCGCGACCACCACTTCCTACGCAGCGCCGCGTCGTCGTCTTGGGACAGTTACCGAGGTCTGGCGCTCCTGTCAATGTCGGCATCGGAGGCCTGGTGACCTTGTGCGCTGGGTCCTCCGGGTCGTGATAGTCGGGGGGTGGCCCGACCGGCGTCGGCGTGCAGTAGTAACCGGTGCATATCTTCCCGCACTGGCCGTCTCGTTTCCCAAGTCCAATGGGCTTGTTGCAAAGGGGTCCGGCAGGTCCGGGCTTGTGTTCGATAGGATCTCCGCTTGGCCCACCACCGCCACTGCCACCACCGCTGTCACCACCACCGCCGGGGGGGCTAAACAGCTTATCTGCGTCTGGTTTCTTGATGTCCTCAATCTTAGGGCAAACCTTGTCCAGCTGCGCATTACCACCTTGGCCCTTGGCCTCGGTGGTGTCAAGGAGGCAGTGGCCAAGGTTAAACACTTGACCATTCCACGCTGTGCTGACCAAGGTATCGATCTTGCCCACTGGAATCTTTGGCTTTGCAGGGTTCTTGTCGGGTTTTCCCATAGGGAGAGGCCGGGAAAGTATCTTGATGAGGGCCTTGAGGCGTTTCGGATCCTTGAGGTCCTCCTTCCACTTTGACGGCAAAGAGCGGAGATTGGCAGCCATTGCTGCAACCAGGGGTGCCGCTGTTGGAGGGTTGAAAAGTCAGCTATCGTCCACAGACAGCAAATTGTCGTGGGAAACTTACCCATTGAGCTTCCGTCGTCCGTCGCGAAACCCTTTCCAGGAACAGCGATGTAAGTCTTTTCACCTGGAGCATAAGTAACCCATCTACCGGCAGACTTTGCGTCAGTAATCATGGCCTGCAATATATTGAAAAGGAAGATCATGAGAGCTTACTGTTGGTAAGGGGCGAAGGTTGCTACACGCTGACTTTGCTGCACTGCGCCCACCGAAAGGACGTTGCTGAGGTAGTCGGCGCGAGAGACATCGCCCCAACCGGCTGGGTAAGCATCAATGTTATCACCTCTCTCCTTGTAGGAATTGTGGATAGCGGCGACAACGAGCACGTTATACTGGCCGAGCTTCTTGATAATTTTGTCTGTGGTTGCGATGCACTGTCAGTATATGGTCGTTATTCTGCCACGTCCTTGGCAAACTCGGAGTTGACTCACATAGCATCCTGATCCTGGCCTCGCTGGCACCATCCGTGAACATGCCGCCAGAATAGTTGATGATGGCTCGGCCTTCCTTGTTGTTCGCAGAATCAAGAATGTCATCCATAACTCGTATAAATGTCTCAAGCACGGCTGCTTCCTCGAAATGTCTGGTTTTTGCGCCTGAGTTGCCTGTGTAGGTGAATCCACTCCCTGGGTTGACTGGCAAGACCATGGTGACCTCTCTGCCGGCCCCGAGGAGGTTTCCGAGAATCTTGGATGAGACAGCGGTTCCGTGCTTCCAATCGAAAGCGGAGACAGGCTTGGGTGTTTTCGCGTCGCCACCGTACGGCGACGAGTAAGGCCACCTGATCAAGCGCCCGCCTAACCCTTGGAACTCCTGTTCAAAAAGTCAGATCTATGCTGTTCAATGACACCAAGCCAGGTGAAAGATGGGTAGACTTACTGCATGGCTGGTATCTATGTCCGACTCCATATTGTATATGTACTGCGTTGGGCCAGTGCCTTTGGGGTACCAATATTTGTTGAACCATCTGTCGGGTTTCTTGGGGTCCTGCTTTCTTGCTGAGGTCCCAGACCTCCTCCATGACTGAAATCCTGTGTACAAGGGAGGTGCCGAAAGCTGAGAAAGCTCCCAATACTCCGCCGTTTCGTGTTCCCCATAGTCGTTCCTCTTACGAAGGACTCCAGAAATAGTCTCATTGAGGTCGCGATGAATATCTGGTATCTCAGTTGAAGAGGTAAGGTTCCCAGGTGACTGATCTCGGGAGAAGTGCCGAGGAACAACTGCTGGGCCGCCACCACCGGACCCAGGGAACTTCCCCTGCCAGATATCGGTAACAGGCCGTGGCGTTTTAGCGTCCGCCAATGCCGTTTTGGCCTTAGCCTCTGCATTCATCTCAGAGAGGTAGTATATGTCGTCAATCTGAAATCACACTTATTAGCTCCTGTCCTTGCGCTCGACTTTGATAAAAGTAAGAAAGATAATCGGAGGTAGCTGGCTGGCTGACTTACACCGTAGGTCCCTTTGGCGCCACTAAGTGTGTCCAAGCTTGCACGGTCAAGCTGGACAACGTGGAAAAAGGCAGTAAACTTCGCCCTATCGGACTTGATCTCTGTGTATGACCATGGCTGCTTCTTTGGGTTATTGTTGACGTCCCTGAGCCAGGTGCGGATGGCCTGGACATTTTCAGGGTTGTCAGGTATGATTAAGGCATCCCCAATTTGGCATGGGCTCTTCTTTTTGGCTCTAGCTTGCAGGAACGGTCGAGATCTCTCCTCGAGGGTACCAGCAGCTCCTTGAACTGGGGTTGGCGTTGCGACAACCTCGCGCTTTGCCACCGGGGTGACAGTGCAACCATCAAAAGTCTGGGTCGACGAATTGTCATCCTCCACCTCGCATCCGTAGATAGTAGCGCATGTCTCCTTCGTCGTAGACGAGGTCGTTCTGGTTGTGCCACCTTCCACAACGCCGGCGTACGAAGTCGTCATCTTGCAAAGCTCGGCGGTCTGGGTCTTGCAGTTGCTCGGCTTCTCGGGTGTGGGAATCGGGCCTCTGGTCGGTATTGTGATGGCTGGCCATTTTGGTAGACGTCCCTTGACCGTGATACCGGGAAGCTTTGGCCAGTCGATATTCGGGGGACCACTCCTATAGGGCCCGGGGGGCAGAGGAGGGAAAACCCAACCGAAGACCTTGAGTTCTGGCCAGTCGATGCAAATGAAGAAGAACCAAGCCTTGCACGACAGGTACACACCCGCGGGCTCGTCATCGTCATCGTCGGAATCTTGAGGGTCGTCTTCTCTTGGCGGATCCGGCACTGGCGTGGTGATGGGCTGAATGATATTACCTGAGCCTGTAGGAAATGGCTTGATATCAGGAGCCTGTGTCCCCGTGAACAAAGTGCAGCCAATGAGAAGTGTGCTCTCAGGAGGTGCATCCATTGCCTTCGTTCCCGTAGGTGCGCACCCGCCCAAAGTTACTTGACCCTGGCAATTGTCAAGCGTCAAGATGGCGTGAAACTCATCAATCTCCAACACGCCACCCGGCGGGCAGTCCCAGACCATTGGAGGTCCAGATCCTAGAGGAGGTCGATCAATGATTGGATTTTGATCATCAGATGGTAGGTCGCTGTTGTCTGGAATGTCGACTCCAGATGGGTCGTCAGGCAGCGGGCCATCTGTCACTGACGGCCAGGGCGGAAGAGTAATCCATCGCGAAGTTGGCGGTGCACCACCCCCTGGAGGCGTGACGACGACGGGAATAGGGGGGATATCAATACTTGGGTTGGCGTAGAAAGGGGGAATGCCACCGGCACCACCGCCATTTGTTGGATTGGCGATGGTAATATTGACATTGGACATGGGCATCTCATTTGTCGTAATGTTGGGCGCATAGACGGTGATGGTCGTCGTTTCGACGACAAATGATGCACCCTGGCTGCGGCCCACCTCAATGGATGTTGTATAGGGTGGAATCGAGATTACCGTTGGTGCCGGGAGTGAGCTGGGTGGCAAGATAAGACGGCAAGGCGGCGTACAGTAGGCAGTCCTTTCGCGGTACACCTCGGTCCCCAGATAAACGACTTCGACATCGTCCTCGTCTAAACTGGCGTCGGGATACCACTCTTGCAGATCGACTGCCCAATCAGTGGTGCCCAGGAAATTGTACGAGTGGTAAAACTCGGTTCTCTTGTCCTTCATCTCGTCGTCCATCCAGGCCACCCATTCTGTGTTGTCATACACCATGATGTTGGAACCTTCTTTGTTGTAGCGCTTGTTGGCCCTGCCTTGAGCAATGATCTGGTTGATCTCGGCGTTTGAGATGTATCCAGCAGTGTCCGTACACCGACCTTTGGCAGCATGGGAGTTGCGGTTGTCGCCCGTGAACAGGCAGGACTCGCCGTCGCACCCAGCCTGGGCCATCTTGAAGGACCGTCCGTAACTGGAGACACCAACCAGGACCTTGTTGGAAGGGGCACCCGCCTTGGTAATCATGGAGAGCGCGTCCCTGGTCTCAGTCTCATTGACATGTGACCGCAAGCAATTGCCCGTCGGGCAGCCAGGCGAAGTCCACTTATTACCAGCATCCCACTGGCCGTGAAGATCATAGGTCATAAAGACAATATAGTCGAGAGCTTGGGCCATTTGCTTGACAGGAAAGGAGCGGAGGTACCAGAACGACGCTGGTGCGGCGAACGAGACTGTCTTGGAATCGCCGACCTCGGCCTTGATGCTGGCCAAGAGTCTGTAGTAGTTGAGACCATTTACCGGATCATCAGCGGGAATGTCCGGGATGTCAGGGGCACCTGGATATTCCCAGTCAAGGTCGATGCCGTCAAGGTTGTGCTCGTTGATGAAGGAGATGATGTTGCGCTTGAACAGGTCGCGGTTGGCTGGTTGGGCGGCCTCGCGGAGAATCATGAAGGTCTCTGGCAGAGCACTGAAGTCCCAGCCACCTAGAGATACAACCTTCTTGACGCCCTGAAGCTTCTTGAAACGTTCAAACTGCTTCTTGACTAACGGGTCCGTGATCTCGATCCGGAAATCGCCTCGCGTGACATTGGGAAAGGCAAAGTGAACGTGGGTGTAAGTGCTTGTGTCGATTTGGGTAGCATCCATGTGCAGGCACTTGCGGCCGAAGTTCCAGCCCTCAAAATAGCCAAGCTTGATATGCTTTGCCGGCGCGGGGCCCTTGATGATGTCTCTGCCGCAGTTGCTGATGCATCCGTGCTGGCCAGGAGCTGCAGTACCGGGGGCACCAGTCTCGGACTTGGAAACGACACAGAAATCATCGGTCATACCGCATTGCCCCCAAATGTTGCAGCACACGTTGAGAGGGCACGGGTTCATCGTGCTGATGTTGGTCCCTAAGGGGGGCCGGACGGTGCCGTTCATGGTTGGTCCACAGATTGCGTTCTACCAAGCCGAAGCAGGTCAGTATAGGAAGTGGAAGAAGCAGTTTGCCTTGGGTTGACTTACAGGGACAATAGCAGGCATCGGCGCAGCTCCGTCGCTGACGCACATGTTGAAATCGGGATAAAGCAACTTGCAGCCATTCCAACCCCATGTGTTCTTGTTGAAGTTCTCCAGTTGGGTCACACTGAGCATGTTGCTTGCAGCAATCTTGGCGCAGTTGTCGTCCTTCTTGGTCCGATAGACGGCACAATAGCCATCGGCACCCTTCTTGGGCCTAAGGTCGGGAAGGTTGCCCCGGCTGCAGCACACATGCTGACCTTCGGACAGTTTGGAGCAAAGCCCGGACTGAGGATTCGCCTTGGTGAAGTCATCGCCAGTAATTCCCTGTACGTTGTATTGTCAGTCTCTCTTTTGTCCACGACGTGCGTAGGTCAAGCGGAAAGTAAGTTTAACTTACGCATTTGTTGGCCAATGAGCCACAGTCGTCGCCCAACACAACCTGGCGCGTCTTACACGTGCCGTCAGAGTTTCCGGGGGGGAGGGTACTGGGGAGGGTGCCGGTGCTGCAGCAGACGCGCTCGCCCAGAACAAGTGAGTTGCAGAGGTTGGCGCGGTTGAAGTTCTGCAGTTGAGTCTGCGAGATGCCACATCTCTGGGCCACAGCCCAGCAACCCTCGCCGGCCTGGACGGTAGTGACCCTGCAATCAGCTCGGGGGCTGAGCCGGGCGAACCTGGCAAAAATATCTCCAGGCGCGGAATGGCGAGAGCTGGCGGTGCTGTTGGAGATGGTGTCGTTCTTGGACAACTCCTCCAAGGGAACAGGAACGCGCAGAGTGACCGGCATCCAGTCCTGGCCCGCACCCACCTGTGAGACACATTTGCCATCAGCCCATGTCTTGACCACCTCCTGGACGAAATCGAGATTCTTGGCGCTGCTGGCGACGATGCCAATGCTGTAATCGGCACCACGATCTTTGGCACCACACAACTGCACCACGGTGGTTCCTGAGACCGACTCGTTCTGAACATGCTCGAGGAATTGCTGAAGGACATCTGATGTGACACCGTGCTGGTGCACTTCAGCGCCGGCAAAAACACCGATGACCGACGTCTGCGAGTAGCCAAAGGCCATGGCGTTGTTGGAGCATGACGGCTTCTGAGAGGCAAGATAGCTCTTGACCTGACGACCAGCTGATAGCAGATGGGTCGGCGAGAACTCGCCGTCTTTACCGGGCCGGTGAATGGAGATGGAGGCATCCTCCAGCACTTTGTTGGCGGTGGTACAGAGCGATGCCTTGGTCGAGTCTGGCACGAAAGCAACCCTCATGGACGGAGAAGTGTCGTAGTCTGCTGTGCAGGCCCTGATGACGGTGGGCATGTCCTTGACCTCGGCCATCTGGACAACCACATTGAGCAGCATGGTCTCCTTGCATGACGCCAACTGATCCGCCTCCGGGAACAGGAACCAGGGGCCCTCCCCGGCTTTGCTGCAAGAAATGGGGCATGGCTTGAGGGCCTCAAGAGGCTGCGCCTGTACCGCAGAGAGCCATTTGTCGAGATCCTCGTCTGCTTCGGTGATGTCGACGAAAGAACTTGAGGATATAAAGGACTGGTCTGTGGCCACGAACCCGCCCGTTGCTCTCGCTGCCCCCGCTGCCCCCGAGGCTACGAGGGCGTAGAGATATGCCTTCATGATAAACGACGAGATAACTGCGTGCAGCAGGTTCTCTCAGAGAGGAGATGTGATGGGAAAAAAGTGTGCCTTGCACCATCCAGGGTTGGATGACGATGCCAGACAGAATGACCTCGGGAGTAAGAGGTGAGTAAACAAAGAATGAGATACCAAATAGACAACAGACAGACTAGCTTGTAGATCATGGGTGAAGCAATATAAAAGGGAAAACGAGCATGATCTCTTTCAGCCTTGAGGGTACGTACCCAACTGAAAGCTGGCCACCGTCAGTTTACACTAGCACCGGCGATATAGACACCCCGGAATTTGTGTTCTTGAAAATGATTGGTATATCGCAGCAACGGTTCCTAGTTAGACATGTACCTGTGTATCCATATGCGAGAATTTGAACGAGGAATTGGCCTCCGCACAAACATACCTTAGCTGGAATACTACAGTTCTTTTGCGCACATTTCCACCTTGCTCTTCGGATGATCAAAATGCAAGGGGTGACCGCTGAGTGCCGTTGTGAAGAACCATCATCATGGTTGATCTATCGACATGAGCCAAGTAGACACGCTAGTATCAAAGTGTGGTTAGGTAGGCTGCAAGGTACCAGACAAGGTGATAGAATGCAACCGGTACATCGCGCCCTCAAATTTACCGTTGGCTCTTCAAGTTGGGGATTTGTTAAGTAGCTAGGCTGTGACTGTTGGATGTTAGTGGTGGCATAATGCAACGTCGGACGGGCTAGAAACACAAAGCTGGGGATAATGCCTTACCTAGCGTGGGTTTCTCAGGTACTAAAGGGAACCGAAGGAGCACAAGTCCATGAGGTGGATCTAGTTGAAATCCATATTTTTATCGGATTGTGGGTATGCCAATCTCTTTGAGTGGCTTTCTCTGTAACTCCATCGGCGTGGAGCTCGGTCCACACTACATGAAGGTGTCGCATCCGCGGCAGATGCACCTTCGTTCACGGGTTTGGGTCGTTTGGATCAAGTGCAGCTCAAATCTTTGAAAATCAACTGTCAAGTCCCGGGTCTGGTGGCAGTCTGGATCTTGATCCATTGGCGACGCAAACGTTGCGGATGGTGGACTAGTATCACACATCTAATCGGATTAGATGATCAACAAGAAAAAAGTCATGAAGGACTTGCATATGGTCTGAACCCTGCATATTCACATCTGAAGTCTTGATTCTCTATTTATGTGAAGACACCTTCCTGATTGGTCTCTAGGTGGAGTGGACGAGGCTCAGTTTTCAACTATTACTTTTTCTTCATCTTGTTGGTCGAAGCCTGCTGCTGTGCCCCTACCAAGCCATATGATAAACGAGAAGATATACGCTGCGCCACCTCAATAGGTCGGTTTGTCGGCAGACTCAGCAGCCGTGCCGAAACAACCCAATTTTTTTTTGGCCTACACTACGACTCTGGCCTCGTCAGGCGTTGTGTCAGCATGCCACTGGGGATTTTACCACATGATGAAAATATCTTCTTAGCTGGCAGCATTTTCCCGGCGATCACACTGTTGGCGGGAAGCTGAGGAAGTTCAGTACCCACTGTGTCCTCGTCCCGTCCACTGGGCATTGTCAACAGGGATCTAATCCGCCTTGAGACCAACCAACCGGAAAGGAAACGGTTCACAGAACAGTAGATAGGTCTGGCAAATATTTCGTTCGGATCCGGCCGCTATGGTCGCATTGTCTCAAGTGATACACTGTTCTGTGCCTAATGTAACTTCAATCCCATGTCGCGATTATACAGTTACTATGTGGGTTCGTTAGGTATGGCTATGCATGGCTCTTGTTCCAATCGTCCTATTAAGATTCGGTATGGAGTCATGTATATCCACTTGTAGCTCCATTGAGGGCCTAGCCTCGGCGGACTATGAATGGCTTCAAGGCTCAGTGCTCGGAACAATGAGACTCTGCGCTGACATCCGGCCAGAAGAGAGCTTGTCCAGTCCTGCTGGTTTATATAATGAGCTGAAATCCTTCGGTATCTCGGACCTGAAGACTTGTCCACCAGGCTCTCTCTTCAATCCGAGTCCACCAGCCAACCGGGTCATCATCTCTACTCAGTCACCATGCTGTCTTCTGCGTACGCTCTGGTTCTGGCCGCCGGCCTTGTCACGGCTGGGACTACTGGCAGACATGCATCTTTGTTGGAAGCACGCGATGGCCCATTGCCATCGCTGCCCTACGACCCCAAGACGTCGAGTTACTGCACCTGGTGGGCTGATGTCAGGTCGGCTACCACCTGCGACGCTATTGTCAGCGAGAACTTTATTTCCTTGGCTCAGTTTAGACAATGGGTAAGTCTTCTGAAGCAGCACTTTGGGCTGAGTTAGTCCCTTACTTGTTGGGAGACCTTTGCTGACTTGTTTGCTAGAATCCTTCCCTCTCTGCTACTTGCTCGGTAGAGGTCGGGAAGTCGTACTGTGTTGAGGCTTACGGCGAACCTGCGCCGGGTATCTCTTCGACCAAAGCGGCAACCACCACCACTCCGTCCTTATCTACCGTTGTTCCTCCAGTGACCACTACGACACCCGGAAACGGCATCACCACACCCACTCCCACCCAGGCCAGCATCGTCAACAACTGTGACGCCTTCCACTTTGTCACGGCCGGTCAAACGTGCGAGACGATTGCCTCTCTATACCGTATCTCCCAGGATCAGTTCAAGGCATGGAATCCCAATGTTGGCGCGTCATGCACCGGACTCTGGGCCAATGCCTATGCTTGCGTGTCTATCATCGGCCATGAACCGTCGCCCACCACACCCGGGAATGGCATCGCCACCCCCACGCCTACTCAAGCCTCCATCGTGAACAACTGTGACGAGTTCTACTTCGTCGCAGTTGGTGACACCTGTGAGATCATTGCGGCAAAACATGGTATCACCCAGGCTCAGTTCCTCAGCTGGAATCCGAGCGTGGGCTCAACCTGCACTGGACTCTGGGCCAATGCCTACGCCTGCGTCTCCATCATCGGCCACACCCCGACTAAGCCGAGCACCACCACCAGCGTCGGCAACGGTATTGCCACCCCGACGCCTATTCAGCCGAATATGGTGAAAAACTGTGACTCGTTCTACAAGATCAAGTCTGGAGACACGTGCGCCACCATCGCCGCCTCCAAAGGCGTCACCGTGGCGCAACTGACCACTTGGAACCCCTACGTCAAGTCCGACTGCACTCTCCTGTGGCTCGACTACTACGTTTGCATTTCCATTGTCGGACACACGCCCACGCCCGTCAACCCAGGCAATGGCATCCAGACACCCACCCCTTACCAGAGCGGTATGACCACCTCGTGCAAGACTTTCCACTTCGTCCAGTCTGGTCAGACCTGCCAGACCATCACTCAACGCTACGGAATTACCCAGGCCAACTTTGTCAAATGGAACCCGGCAGTCAAAAACGACTGCACTGGCATGTGGGCAAATGCCTATGTTTGCGTTGCTGTCCTCTGAATAAGGGGCGCAGTCAAATGTTAGGATTGTAGCTATGTCTATCCACTGTTAAGAAAGCATCAATGGCATGTAGATGATCGGATGGATGAACAGAACCTTGATCCCATATGATGCTGTGCTTTGGTTGCGCGTGATTCTGTGTTTCGCATGTACCGTGAATAGATCTCTTATGGAATGCCCTGTGAACCTGAAAATGAACATGTTCAAGTGATGTCGAGTTTGAAGTGGCACTTACAGCCGTGGTTCGCTCTCAAAAAGGGAGCGATGTCACGGCGGACGGCGACGCTTGATCAACCTGCCTAACTGAAGGTGGCTTGGCGCAGACGCTTGGGCCACCGCGTCGTTTTACTGGCAAGGCATATCCGTATATAGTGGACGGCTTGCCCTTTCTCCAACACTGTTAACACGAACTCCACCACCAACCAACCATCCCTGGAACCACAATCCCAGATACCGCGCTCTCGATTTGTGGTAGGACTCTACAGTCCACAGTTTACCTTTTTTCAACGGACTCTCCAAAGTAAAGGGAGCCCTTTCTGTATCCACAAGCAACGCTCACAACCTACCATGTCGGAAATGGCCAGCCCAGTGTCGTTAACCACCCTCTCAACCGAACTCCGCCACAAAGTCCTAGCCTCTGTGATTTGGACATCAACAGCAACGCTCTATAATCACCTCGACCTATTTTTCCAAGATCCTCGGGTCCGGCTCCGCGATGACTGGGACATTTGGGTACCAACCACACCACCTCAACCACCCGCTCTGTCACTCCTCTTGACATGCCGGATCCTGCACTATGACGTCCAGTATCTATTGAATTCATCCACTGCCCAATCCCACCCCTATGAGATTGACGTCGTCTTCATTGCCAAATGCGGACTTTTCCCAACCTGGGTGTGTTGTCCACTCCCAAGCCAGATCAACCTCGACACTCTCCAGGCGTCATTCCGCATAATGGACGTGGAGGATATCGACGACGAGGTACCAGCAGGAAGGCAGGGGGAGTTCTTAAGCCGTTACCGCGGTGTATCGTCTGACTTCGATGCAGACAACTACCCAAATCCTCCTCCCGGCTCATGGAACTTCTATCGCCTGTTAGCGTCCTTCCTGGCCTTGGGGCCTCGGGGCCTGACCTCTCCCGCTTATCAAAGAGAAAATCGCGGCTGTCTTTCAAGAAGCAGATACTCACTCCAACATCTCATCATTAGCGTAACATCTAAGGAGGAAACTGAAATGGATGACGAAAGACGGGAGCGAGCAAGTGGACCAAGGCGGTTCTTACTTGACCACAATTCCGACCTGCCTTACGGAGCCTCGAGAGAAGATGACGTTTTTCCAGGGCCGCCTGACAATTCTCCATACACATGGACAGGCCCCACCGAGTTGGAGACCGTTAGAGGGATGTATGGCCACGCGGGCCGTCTCACCCTCGGACACGCCGACCGCTATGGCTTGTACCTTGCCAACACCCTCTGGGCCCTGCTTGACTTCAAGTGGCTCTCACGAGGCTTCGGTCTTATGGTGTACGAAAGCATCCTTGACGACATTACCTTTTACGTCGACGGGGAGCCAAGACCTCACTTTGGCATGGACGACTTGCTTTCCCTGGAACCCCTAAAGCACCGCACCTTGACACCGGAGGTCGCAGCAGCCCTTCAAGTCTGGAAGGAGTGGGTAATGAAGTGGAGGAGTAAGCTACGGGAGCGTGGTATGTTGGATGAACCACGCCCGAGTTTTGCTTTTGTGAGATACTTGCCGGCATCGATGGCAGATCCTAATGAGTGCCCAGAGTCAGACTCGGATTCTATGTCCGGCTCAGACGTATAGTTTACATCTCTCGTAGCAATGAAATGAACGGCCAAAAGAGCTGGTATTTAATCGTTTAAAGCCTATCACGATGTTTAAATACCTTCTATTATATTTCCGCTCGTTTTTCAGGTCTCCTAAGGCCTATCCACTATCTTCAAGTCGTATTAACTATCTTTGATGCTTGTTGACTATCTTTAAAGGCCTACTGAATATGTTTTAGGGCCCTTGCTTCGCTTGTTGTCACACGTCAACCACTCGCAGCCTGGAGCACAGCCAACAACACAGTGAACTGAAAGCTCTGAGCCAGTCGTTGGGAAGTGAAATAAGCAACAGGCTACAGGCGGCAGCAGCAGAGGCATTGGCTCATGTATAAGCAGAGGGATGTGCTGGACTTGGCAGATACTTAAGGTCATCACAACACGGACCTCAGTGAGAGAGACAAATACATGAGCAGAAGAGCAACCAGACTGTCATTTCAAGTGAAATCCAATGCAGATTTCGGAAGACATACTGCCAAAAACTGAGGAAGATTTCTCTCCCTATCTTCTACATTCACACCCCTCAGTCTTGCAATGAACCTGAAGCATATAAGCGCCGATAGAAAATAAAAATCGAAAATAAAACGGGCGGTAAAAAATGTAGGTACTCATCTATTTCACTCGCTTATAATGTATGTTACGTCGTAACGGTTTTTACTTAAGAGTAATAGTAATATTGTCCTTAGAATCATTGCTCGAGGCACCAACAATCAACATAAAGTCGCCTGGCTCGACGACATACTTTATCCTCGAATTCCACACCCTTAAATCCTACATCTTAACTTTAATGCTAACCCTTTTGCTCTCCCTAGCCTTAAGGAACACCTTCTTAAAGCCCTTCAGTTAAATATTAGCACCACAACACTGGCAATTAAATCCTTCACATATAGCTGGAGAACCTCCTTTCCATCCCGCTCCGACGTATTCTTTACGGTAACACTGATAGTTATAATGTCTCTCTCGCGGACCTCCTGTTTATCCACGGCGACGTCGCTATAAACAAATATCGAGTAACTCCGACCGTAGCCAAACTCATATAGAGGCCTTAGGTCGCCTAAGACGTACTGGCGACCGAAAACGAGCGTACCGTTCTCGTAGGAAACGCCGGAATTTAGCGAGGGCCCCCGACCAGAGTTCCAGTAGTCGTAATAGACAGGCAGGTCGCCAACGCTATAGGGAAAACTAACGGTTAGTTTACCGGAAGACTCACTGCCCGGGAGTCGAACCCTCAATCTTTCTCTCTCTCTCTCCCTCTCTCTCTTCCTCTCTCTCCCTCTCTCTCTTCCTCTCTCTCCCTCTCTCTCCCTCTCTCCCCCTCTCTCTCCCTCTTTCTCCATCGATTGACGGCAAGGCGACTGCTCGCCCTTGCCTTGCGCGCTGCGCGCGCGCGACCCTAACCCTCTGCCAGTGCTCGGCATGTGGTCTGTGCCGGGCATGTGGCTCAATATGTAGCTCACGGCCATGTGGCTCGGCGCAGGCACCGTGGGCCAATGAAAAATGGACGTTCGATAAGGTCTCTCATTGACCAATGATCAATTGAGAACCCTGCCAAGTAAAGATAAAGCCTATTCCGGTTAAATAGCGAGAGACTCTCCGTCTGCTTTTTATTGCTCCACTTTCTCCACCTTTTTCCTCAGCCCTACTCCTGAAATGGAAAGTCTTCTAGCTTCTCTTCTTTCAGCCTTAAGCCTTATAAGTAAGGTAGAAAGAAGAGGGAAGCTTTGAAGACCATACTCTATGCAACTTTAATGATTGGCCCTTGCTTCTGATTGCTAGGTCAGCTGACATGGGATGGTCAGAACGTGGATCCTGAGCAGGAATCCCGTTAAAGCCTGGTTAGATACCGGAACGAACATAGATCCGATAGTGTGGCTCACTGGAATTCCTGGTGCGGGTAAGCTGAAAAAGGTAACACCTCCTTGACTCTTTCACAGCTAATATCTCATGCAGGCAAAACCATTCTGGCTTATGTGATTATCGAGACATTGCTAAAGCGCCCTGATACCAAAGCTGTGTTTTTCTACTACAAAGACGGGAACCAGTTACGAAACAACTTCCTCGCCATGGCCAAGAATCTACTCTACCAGCTATGCATCAAAGATGATCGACTAATGGAGTACGTCGATGCTGTCATGTCGGAGGAGGGTCAGGCGGTCCTACAGAGACCCGAACTCGCCAACAAACTTGTTACCACTGCGATGAAAAATCAGGAGAAGCTGTTTGTCATCATCGACGGTGTTGATGAATGTCTCAAGCCGGAGAAGAAAAAGATCATTCAATGGATTCAGTCCATGGTCGCTGCTGGTCCAGACACATCAGACGATGACGACGACATGACCCAACCAGACAGCACCGGTACGCTGAGGCTTCTATTGGTCAGTCAAGAAGATGCAGAATGCACGAGGCTTCTGAAAGGGTATCTGTTGGGCTGGCGACCTAGGAAAGTCACTGGCTGCGAAAATGAGGCTAAAATGGCCAAAAAATGGTAAGCAAATTGGTATTACAGTAGTTGGTTGTTGGTTAAAAAGTAAACAGTAAGAAAATCCAGCCCCAAGAGCAAACCGGTGTGGGTCTGGGAAAACCTGGGCCCTTTGGTGCCCCACAGTATCCGACACTCAAGATAAGTCCAGAAGATAATCATGACGATATCAAGGCCTTTTGTGAGTACTGGAAACCGAAGATCAGAGCGAAACACCCCAAACTTCAAGTTGGCGATGGACCAGCTTCCACCACTTCCAATGTTCTTGCTCGTGCAGACGGTAAGCTTGGTTTTTGCCTTCTTGAGACTGCCATAGTGGCCATCTGACATAGCCTAGGTATGTTCTTGTACGCGAAGCTGGTAATCATGAACTTGCATACGCAGTCAAAAGCCTTCAGGCTTCGTGAAGAACTCGAATGGTTGCGCCAGGATAGTGGGAAGCTGGGTGTCGTTGGCAAGCTGAGCTAAGCGTGAGCTGTCACATACCTATCTATTTTCCCGAAAGCAATACTGACGACTATCGCAGGTATGGCCGTATACTTGGGGCGATGAAACACGACATGGATGACGAACGATATCAAGAGGCAATGCAGGTATTGTCTTGGGTTGTCGTGGCCCAGAGAGACCTCTTTTGGCGTGAAATCCAGGGAGCCGTGTCTCTGGACCTGGAGAATCGCAAGAGAAGAGCACAGTGAGGTGTTTGACATACTGGACTGGTTATATTAAACCAAGCATGTCAGAACGATTTAGGATCTCAAGGTTCTTGACCGACTTATTAACCCACACAGCGAACGCGATATTGCATAATATGTCCAGGATTTTTGGGTTCAAATCCTCGATTGGCGCTTTCTAGACATATCGCTTTCCGTTTTCAGTGATGAGACGAAAAAAAGAATTCGTAGTCTCCATTTATACTCCAGCGGGAAAATAGTAACGATTAGTTATTAACTAAATAAAAAAGATAGGTTAAAGTCTTTTAAGAATATAAGTTACTATATAAACGGATACCGTATAACGTTGGAGAATAATTAAAGTCTAGGTACTTATAACGTTACTAATTTTGCCGGATTAATTGAAGTGGCCAGCAAAATGCATGAATGCATAACATCAGAGAATGGAAATCTCTGAAAGATTACCATCTTCAAGTCCAACAGCTCCTCTCCGGACGATAATTCTAGCATCACTGATGTGTGTGACATTCACATGATCGAATCAATCAAGATATATGTTTCCATCAACGTTATTCGTTGTAAAAATAATCATCCATGTGTGTCATTTCAGAGTTTACTAACCTGGGTATATCGACTGTTCTCGCTATTACAAGCATTTCTATTGCTTACAAGTCTTGTCATCATGCATCTGCGAATGTGAATCGAGAACAGTTGCGATAAGAGAAGGCGACATAGGATCATATTGTGGCATTGCAAGTCTCAAAGCAGTACATGGTTGCCGTCAACGTCTAGTATTATCAAATCTCGAGCGTTCCACAATTCCCAACGTCACTGATCAGCACACATCAAATCATGATTTTTCGTACGAGAATGCATCAAATTGCCATAAGTGAGCTTGAATAGCACAATAGCTAGACAGAGAAAAAGAATACGATTGTCTCGACTGCTGAAGGCGAACATGGTCCAATTATTCGCCGTTCACGCCTGACAAATTGTCATAACCTTTTCCCACAGGGCAGCAAGTCGTACTTGCGGGTCATGCACGTGGCTGTCACGCTCAACAACCATTGGCTCGAGATTTCTCCCACTAACAGCTCGCTCTTCGCCCATTCGGCTTCTGATGGAACTTTTCTCGTCCAAGACATTAACATCACATCTGTGCCTCACCATCAGCTCAGAATTTTCACCCGGCGCCCGCCGCCAATCCAACAATGGGAAGAGTCCCGGAGCCTTGGTACTGGCGCCTGTGCCACCGTGCATGATGCAGACTATGCGTAACGAGATGAGTGGGAAAAGCAGTGACTAGGCGTCAGGCACCGCATGATGCCCACGCTTTTCTTATGACATGAGGTATACCCTCTGGGGTCTTCATTGCACGAATTTAGACTGCAGCTGTATCCACTGTCTCTGATTAAGGCACGAGACTCGGATGTTACGGTGGACGGGACCCTGAATGTGGTGGTGTTGGTTCACAGGTGGGACGGCATGGGTGAGGATAGAACGACTCCCTGAGTTCGAAAAGAGAAAAAAAACATTCATCACATGTGTTGGGTCTCCATGAGAGCCTTTGGATGACATGAGAACCTACCTAAGGATAGGGATGTTGAGAGAGGTGACTGGATATCAAGCCAGAGATCTCATTACGAGAGAGCTCTCTTCTCAAACACCCCAAAGTTTCTCTAATACCTCTTTTAATCTCCATTCGGTAGCTCTTTTAAACAAGCTCGGTGACCAAACTGGTTTGACATCTTCACATGCCACTTTTTTTCTCCTGTAATATCCCGCTACCTTGCATCCCATGATGTTGGGGAACGGGCATGCACATCGACATCCCGCGGACATGAGCCGTCGATCATACCATTCCGGTATCCCCAGCCGGGCTAGGGACGTAGCGCAGATGCTTGTTTCACTCATGATGCCGCCTTCGGAGCCGGAATGGGATTTTGAGGATGAAAACACACGTGGGCGTGGAAGCACAGCGTCTCAGCCATGCTGTTACGCAACGCCCAGAGCCCAAAGCAACCTGATAGTGGATGTTTTAAGCCATTCACACATGGCTATCGACTTGTCAACACACCACAAATGTCTTGTTCTGCTAGCCTTGCTCTCAACACTTCAAGGGCCTGCCCAAATTGGAATCAAAGACCATCCGAGGTTCATCTCCGGGGAAGACTGATGACCGCCCTCCATGTATCATCAATGCAGGCTGGACGGGATAGGGCCCGTGAGTTCAGCCAGCACGAGCACAATGGGGAGGAGCTGATTGGACTGGTGTAAGCGTACACCCTGCCACATAAGGTACCGAATAACCAATGGAATGGGGGGTACCATTTCCGGGGGTTGGCTTCGACTTTGAGCTTGAACCCCGCGAACCACTTGTGCCACCCGTTCTCTCGGCGATATGGGATTAAGATTTTTGGTGCAATTTGAACAGCATTAAGCCTTTTTTGCCAAGTTCTTGGGAAGCCAACACTGGGACTGACATCCTCGCCCACCACGCCGACGTAAATCGTAACGGGCGCCAACCATCAAACTGGGGAAGGAAACAGGCAGCATTCCATCATCATCCCTGTGGTGGTAGGTCATTGATTGTCCATACAAGTGTGCGGCACTCACCAACGTGGGACACTCACTGCTCCTGACGATCTCGAAGTCGGTGGTTCGTCTCGAACAGCCATGGAATATCAAAAGTCCAGGACGGAGGTTGGTTGGTCCAGACCCCGCAAAAATAGGTCCCGGCTCTTGTTATCGCCATCAGCCTCTTGATCGTGCACGTTGCTCAAACAAAGACTCCGATTGGATCATCTCGTAGAGCCAAGACTTTCTGACCTCTGCCAAGGACATCGCCCGCAGGGCCAAGAGCGGAACCTGGAGACTTGGCGACCGGGGGATTGCACCCCACGTGTGTCAAACCTCGAACGCCAAACGTCGAAGCTGGTTTTCCCTCATTTTCTTGAACATTGCCATCCCTCAGCGCTCACTGGCTGCGAGAGCCCACCAAACGCACGTCGTCGTCCCCGCGCGAACCATGATGCAAGCATATAAGGATGATCGCTTGTTCCGTCGCCCTCAGCCAAGCCTGCCAATGCTTGGCCCCGTGGGGTTTTCCTCTTCAATGGATCTGAGGTGGATCTCTCTTCCCAAAAAGAAGCGGTGTCGTTTTTTCCCATGATCCGCCCGCTGATGCCTCCCTCCCCGTCACTCCTCGGTTTGGCTTTTTTTTTCTCGGTGCTTGGCTTTTTTTTGTGGGACGGACTTCGAAACATGCCGTTCATCCAACATCGAGATTCTCGGCTGACGGCTTCGTTGAGCTTCGGTCGGCCGGGGGCTCACGGATGTCTCCTCTCTCACCTACTAGTATCTGACGACTGCCTAGGCAGGTGATATCTGCTCTAGCGGCATACAACTACACACACTAAGAGGACAGGTTCAATATTCCATTTTTGAACGCGGCACGCGAGCATACCGCATACATACTGTGATGGTGCTCTCTTTCGAGTGCATATCCCACACATGTCCACTGCCCTAGTATATACACTACATTCGCCATCTATCGGCTTTGTACATGATGCAGCCAAGATGCACAAACGGATCTTTCTCGCTAAAGCTAGACAGCGGGAGGGTTGCGATGTGCGTATTCCCCTCCCCTCTCCGGGGACCAAATGGAACCACTCATTGCGACGTCTCACATCACGCACATCAGAGAGTGCCTGCCAGCCTTGCCTCTTCTTCTGACCGAGGGAGGAACGAGTTGGATGTCAGAGAAAGAGAAAAAAAGTCTCGGACGTGTGTGGGCTGGACGGGAACAGGGATGGAGGGAGACAGACCTGGAAGCGCGATCGGCCCTACCCGCCAAGCCCCAGTGCCCCCCCCGCCGTCAAAGGCCCACCCCTTCAGCAGGGGTTCCAACAGCTCCCACCCACCAGGTTGTCCCGACCAGCATCTCGACCTCCTCCCGATGCAGCAGAAGCAGCAGGCGAGCAGGTCTTGTTTTCGCCAAGGCACCAGTGCTGTGGGGAGAGGCAAAAAACCCAGAACCATTCGACAACGGCAGAAGAGCTCGAAGAGCCAACCCACGTGTGTGCCACCGCTGGCTGATGTCCCCCTGCGCCGACCATCGCCTCTCCATGTGTCCGTCTGGTTAAATACAGACGGCACAACCTGTGTTTCCTCCTGACTCTGCATCCCTCCTCAACAGGTCGATCAGCCACCCGCTACAACAACCTTCGCAGTCTCGTCTCTGAGCACGCGACATCCACCGTCCAACTACAATGGCGGTCCTCCACCAATTCGACTACCTCTTCGCCATTGGCACCATCTTCGCAGGCCTCGACGCCTGGAACATTGGTGAGTTGATACACCAACATGCAACCATCACCACCGCTTGATATCAGCTCCTAACCAGCTCTCTCTCTCCCCTCCAGGTGCCAACGATGTGGCCAACTCATGGGCCACCTCTGTGGCTTCCCAGTCCGTGACCTACCTCCAGGCCATGGTTCTCGCCTCTGTCATGGAGTTTGCCGGCTCCGTTGGTGTTGGTGCCCGCGTTGCCGACACCATCCGCACCAAGATTGTCGACACGGCTCTCTTCAAAGATGATCCCGCTCTTCTCATGCTTGGCATGGTCTGCGCTGTTACCGCTTCCTCCATCTACCTCACCATGGCTACCAAGATTGGTCTTCCCGTCTCCACCACCCATTCCATCATGGGTGGCGTCATCGGCATGGGTGTTGCTGCCGTTGGTGCCGATGGTAAGGCTGACCACGCTCTCGGGTACCTTTTCTGACAGGACGCTAACATTGTGATCTCCAGGTGTCCAATGGGTTGGCAAGGGTCCCGGTACTGGTGCCATCAACTCTGGTGTCGTTCAGGTCTTCCTCGCCTGGATCATCGCCCCTGGTCTCTCCGCTATCTTTGCCTCCATCATCTTCTTGATCACCAAGTATGGCGTCATGCTTCGCAAGAACCCCGTCTGGAAGGCCTTCATCTACGTGCCAGTCTACTTCGGTCTCGCCGCCGCGCTCCTTACCATGTTGCTTCTCTGGAAGGGTGGCAACTACGAGGTCAAGCTCACTGATTCCCAGCTCCCCGGTGTCATTGTTGCCGTCGGTGTCGGTTTTGCCCTCCTCATGTGCGTCACTCTGATGCCCTGGCTCTACCGCGTTGTCATGCTCGACGACTGGCAGCTCCGCTGGTACCACATTCCTCTCGGTCTCCTCCTCCTCCGCCGCGGCCCCGTCCCTGAGAACCCCGACGACGAGTACGAGGATGAGCCTGTCCAGGAGATCAGCCCCAAGGATGAGCTCGCCGCCACCAAGGCCGCCCAGCGTGGTGATGTCGAGATCTCTGCCGCCGGTGCGCTCCCCGAGAAGACTGTTGGCGCCGCCGACTCCACCGATGGTGCTTCTGGCAACGGCGCCGCTGCCCCTGTCCGCCGCAAGAAGCCCTCCGACTTCCGCAAGCCCCACAAGAAGCTCCTCAAGGGCAGACCCGAAGGCAAGTGGTACTCTTTGCCCGTTGTTTGGTACGGTATCAAGTGGGCTTTCCTCCACGGTATCGATCAGGATGTTGTCAACCTTGCTGGCCAGAAGAGCGCCCTCGCTGGTGATGTCGAGGAGATTCACGCCCACGCTGCTCGCTACGACAACAAGGCCGAGTACATGTACAGCTTCCTCCAGGTCATGACTGCCGCCACTGCCTCTTTCACCCACGGTGCCAACGACATCGCCAACGCCATCGGTCCCTATGCCACCGTCTTCGAGATCTGGAACTCCGGCGTGCTCCCCGAGAGTAACAAGGCTGCCGTTCCCACCTGGATTCTCTGCTTCGGCGCTGCCATGCTCGTCCTCGGCATCTGGACTTATGGCTATAACATCATGAGGAACTTGGGTAACCGCCTCACCCTCCAGTCGCCATCCCGTGGTTTCTCCATGGAGCTTGGCTCTGCCATCACTGTCATCCTTGCCACCCGCCTCAAGCTTCCCGTCTCTACCACCCAGTGCATCACTGGTGCCACCGTCGGTGTCGGTCTCTGCTCTGGCACCTGGCGCACCGTCAACTGGCGCATGGTCGGCTGGATCTACTTCGGCTGGTTCATCACCCTCCCCGTCGCTGGTATCATCTCTGGCTGCCTCATGGGCATCATCATCAACGCTCCTCGCTGGGGCTACTCTGGTTAAATTGGGATTAGCATTGGCGTTTTTATTTTGGATTTGATTTTTTTGAGAGTGTGTGGGTTCGAAAAGTACTGGGATCTGCACATTGGTTGAAGGATGTGATTATTGGGTAGTATAATAGTTCGTGGTTCCGGTTTCAGAATACCCCTGGGAGGCTTCGATATCTAGCGAGTAGTAATAAAAAAGGTCTTGGACCTGTACCTACCACTTTCGTCTTGATTAATCTGATTTTCCACAGCCACATCTACTTTCTCCTTCCTTCCCACCGATCTTTCTGCTGCCCCCTTGAATGTGTTTTTGTCCCCGAACAACACCAATCGGATTCCATCCATGCCTAAGGGCTCCCCGTCAAGGCATCCAAGCTCACAACCAATGAAGAATAGTTGCATGTCTGAAGTTCATCCCATCTTCACTTCAGCCACATCCCACGGTTCTCTTTGTCTATCCTGCCTACTTACCTAAGGTACTTACTAACCTGCCGAGCCTACTCACACCTGCTGTTCCAAGCAATGGGGTCCATTGTCTTCTTTGACTGGATTTGCAATTGCCTACTCAACAAGTAGGTTTGAGGCTACCAACAAGGTCTCAGCCACGCGCTACTTCTAAGGTAGTCTTGGACAAAACAGCGCCACTGTAGGTACCCTAGGTAAAGTCTGATCTTCTGATAAGGTGTCTGTGACCATTGCACGCATTCACACTCAGAGCCGACGCCTCAACCGGTTCGTTGCATGTTCCTAGCTGCCAACGACACACCTGCTGCTATCGTCTGAAGGCATATCAACTGCTAACAAAGGCCTATCCGTGTACCAACAAGGCGTTGTGATTGCCAACACTGCACGCCCTCTCACTATCATCTGAGGGTATTTTCACCCCCCGTTTCAGGCCTTTAGCTCACAACTGCACGCCTCCTACTCCCATCTAAAGGCATGCCAACCCCTTTTCTCACGCCCATTCACATCCAAACAACATGTCACACGCTCAAGCAGCCAAGTCCACAACTTAGAACCCCTTTTCTATCATACACCACCCCTGTTATTATAAAAACTATATAATACACGGCAATGAATCCGCCCGTTTGACAACTCCCCAGACCATGTGAAAACCGAATGCAATGAACCCCCCAAAACATAAGCCCAGTCGCAAATAACTCCCCAGACTATTGTAAAACCTGAATGTAACCACTCAAATACCGCTTCCTTTGGTGCATAATAAACCCCCTTTTGCAATTCGTAAAAAAGGCCCATATAAACCTTCCTTGACCATGGGTATGTCTCAAAAAAAAAAAAAAAAAACCGAGCCGGAAAAAAGGCAAATAACCCCCCCCAAATATCTTCTCGTCTCTGATGCTGCTGCTGTCATTCTCACGGGCGAAAAACAGCTCAATTCTTGCGCTCCATCCACCCAGCCGGAGCAGCGAGGTGCATATCCATGCCATCCTCATCCTCGTTCTTTTTCTCGTCGTCGATATTTCCGGGGGCCTGTTCTTCATTGTTAGTCTCGCGTCCATCTTCTCTTCCAAGCTGTTCATGTACAGTCTTACCTGCCTTCTTCTCCTCATTCTTCTGGACCACCACCTGGTCCTGCTCTTCATCAGACTCGGTAACATCGGCGTCATGCTCAACCCCTACAGTCGGGGGAGCGGGAGCCGCAGCCGCGGGAGCGGGGGCAAAAGCTGAGGAGGTAAATCCTTCCTGAGCTGTGGTTGTACCAACCACCGTCGTTGCCGTCGTAACCGCCGGGGCGGGAGCAGCAGCCAGAGGTCGCAGCCCACCAGCGGTAGGCCGACCAGGGCGCGCGGGAGGAGGGTCTGTCACCGTCGTCACGGTGATCACGTTCTTGTTCTTCGGGAGACGACCACGGGTTCTCTTCGGGGCTGGGGCCGGGGCCGGAGGGGGGGATCCAGACCGGGCTCTCTTGGTATCGGCCCTCGGGGAGGGGGTTCCAGAACGGACGCGGCGTCTCTCGTTCGGGCCTGGCGTCCCCGTGATGGTGCGGCTGACGCCGCCGGGTGCGGTGAGCTTGAGGGAGGGGATTGGTCCGGCGAGGAGGGCAGGGTCGGGTCCAGCGGGGGCGGTGAAGACGACCCGGGCGTCGGGAGGCAGGTTGTAAGTGTTTCCGACGATAGTCACCGGCGCCACTCCCAAAGACTGGGGAGTTTCCCCCTGAGGGGCGGGCCTCACAATTCCAGCCGTGGGCTGGGGGCCGGACTTGGGGTGGGCGGGGAAGTAGTAATAGACTGGGCAGCCACACTCGATCTTCATTACCCTGATAAACTCCCAGACCTTGTTGCCGGGCTTGGGGATGCTGGCATCGAGTCTCTCGTCCGCGGTCATCTCGATGCTGTCGGCGTGGATACGCTCGACGTCGATGTTGGATTTGATAACCAACTGGAGCGTCTTAAACTCCTTTCTCACGTCCAAATCCATCCTCTCTGCGCCAAAACAGGCGAGCATATTCCGGATTCTGGCCAGGACGGTTTCTTGATGCTGGATATGCATCGTTGTTGTCTGGGCGGCGGCGGCTCGACGACCTTGCTCAACCCCGATGGGGAGAGCGGCTTGCCAGCCGAGGTCGTATCCGATCACCACCCGCTGATCCATATCGGCGACGAACTGGGGGGTGGTCTGACCGCCGCTGGGAAGGCTGTGATATGCCGACCGGGGGTCGAGGGCAGCCTCTCTCTTCGCCATCTCGGCCTCTCGTTCCGCCATCTCGGCCAGTCTTCTCTCGATCTCTTTCTCTTTTGCCGCGTTCTCCATGTCCTTCTTGACGAGGCTGGTGTTGACGGCGACGAAATTCCTGTTCTTCTTCTTCAACTCCTCCTCCTTCTCTTTCAGCGCCTTCTCCTTCTCTTTCAACGCCTCCTCCCTCATCCTCAACCCCTCTTCCTTCTTCCCCAGCTCCGTCTCCTCCGGGGGACGTCTATCCTTCTCCTCCAAGGCTCTCTTCTTCTCCTCCAGGTTCTTCTCTTCCTCCTCCAGCTCCCTCTTCCTCGCCTCCAGGGCCTTATTCTCGTCGTCCAAATCCTCCCTCCAAAGCCGGAGGGTGACCTTTTGGGTCTCGACAATCTTCTGCTGCTCAAGAATAGCAGCGGCAGCCTTCTCCCTCACCTCCAAATCCTCCTTTTCCTTGTCGAGGGCGTCCTCCCCAGCCGTGAGGGCATCTTCCCGCTCATTGAGAGCGGTTTCTATCTCCACAGCCACAGCCTCCCGCTGGAGGAGTTCCGCCTCACGGGACTCGAGACCCGTGAGCTGGTGCTTCTTCTCCTCGATAGCTCTGGTGAGGCTATCGAGGGAGGCTTTCGCCTCAACCTCGGCCTGGAGAAGCCGCTTCTCCCTCTGGCGGAGGATCTTCTCGAAGTCGGCGAGCCTCGCCTTCTCTCTGTTGAGAGAGGCGGCGGAGACGGAAGACAGCGCTGGAGAGACAATAGGGACGGCCGGGGCGACAGGGGCGTTGGTGGCGGCGGCGGTGGCGAGGTTTGCGAGGACCTCACCATACCGAACGATGTCGGTATGGGGGACACTCACGTACCCCCAGGCGTTCTTCCCCTCCACAAAACTCTTCTCCAGGGCTGTCTGCTCCCTTTGGAGCATCCCCAGGATGTCCCGAGGATGTCCTCCGGGAGGACCAGCGGGCGAACCGGCGAGAGGAGCGGCGATGGTGGCAGGAAAGCTGCCGAGGGGAGTGCTGGGAGGAGGGAGAGGGAGAGAGGGAGAGGTGGGGGCGAGGGCAAGAAAGTCGGTGCCAACGGGAGTACCCTTGGTAACTAGGTACCTCGCGGCCGGGGTCGGAGTGTCCACCTGGAAGGGCGGACTCCCCGTGGTGGGGATGGGAGGGGTGGAGGAGGGGTGGCCAGGATTTTTCCCCTGGCCGGGGATCGAAGTAAACTCGAGAGGCATTATGTTCTCCTAGGAGAAAAAGAAGAGAATGTCAGTCCCTGTTAAGCTGGGATGTTTTTTGGTCGTTTGTGAACGCTGCTGTCTTGTGTGCAAACGACATGACTTGGTGAGGAAACGGTGCTATCTCGTGTGAAAACGGTGATATTTTGTAAGGAGACGATGAGGTATCGGTGTGTACACGGCTATGCATCGTTTGTGAATGTTTATGCATCGTGTGCAGATGGCTATGTCTTGTGGGGAGGCGGATATGTAACTTCAAACTTTTAACTTGGACGTTTTCTCACGATCTTGGGGTTCATGAGAAAACAATGCTAAGTCAAAATCTGGGGGTTGAAAACGCCAAATCCTTGTGACTAGACGAATACCACACTCGTGAGAAAACGCTGCCAAGTCAAAATCACACTCATGAGAAAGCACTGCTACCTCGAGTCAAATTTGGGGTTTGAAAACACAAAGTCCGTGTAAAGACAGATCTCAAATCCTTGACTTGAATATTTTTTTTCTGTGCTCAAAAACAATGCCAGGTCAAAGTTTGGGGTTGAAAATGCCAAATCCGTAGACCAGTCGAATCTCAACATCGTGAAAAAACATCCAAGTCAAAAGTTTGAAGCTTGCCAATTCCAAATCTTGTTGACGGGACGAATCTCATCATAGCAAGAGAACGCCCAAGTCAAAAGATTGGAGTGCGGAAACATCAGCTCTTCCTGGCAAGGCCCGTCTCACACTTGTGGGAGATTGGTGCTAAAGTCAAGAGAATAGGGGGTGTAGAATATGAAGATTTGTGTTTCAGAATGCCAGATCTGATGATAGGACAAGTTTCGCACTATACTGTGAGAAAATGTCCAAGTCAAAATGTTGAATTGGGGACACCTAATCTTCGTGACGAGACAGTCTCCACATATGTGAGAATAAATGCCAATTCTGAAAAGGGGGGTTTGGAGACAGATCTCACACTTGTGAGAACATGCTGCAAGGCAGACAGGGTTTGGGGGTTGAAAGGCAGAATGCTTGCCAGGAAGCAACGTTCAAAAGCATTTGCGGCAGTGCTTGTGTTGTATGTAGACGGGGTGGACTTTTGTGAAGTCTTGTGACGGAATGACGTTGCAAGAAAGGATATTAGTGTAAAGGCAATACTAAGATCAAAAACCTTTTGTGCGTGACACAAAGGTAAGATCAAAGACTTGGTGCGGGAGCAACGCTGAGCCCAAAAGGCTTCCATGCATGGGGAGGATGCCGGTGTAGAGGAAGGGAAGAAAGGGTGTTGATGTAGAAGGTATGTCCAGATAGAGGATCTTGGTGTGGGAACAATGTCAAGACACAAACTCTTGTGTGGAGACAAGATGAGATGGAAGTGTGATGCGAATATCAGACTAGAATAGGAAGGGTGTGCGGGAATGGTGGAATAATACGTACTCTTGAGCGGGCGAAGTTTGGTTGGTTGTCTGAGGAAAGAGAACAGTTAGCAAAGGATCTGAAAGTGGTAGTGCTGCAAGCAATTGACAAGACATTCGCCCAATCATCTGAAAGAGGTAACCCCAACTCTTGATAAGACGACTCGGAGGTGCTAGTGCTCGTGAAAAGATGTGTTCCCTTGCAGAGGGAATCTCGGCCCCGTGGAAGTAGGAATCCCTCGCTTGAGAGTTGACGTTGAACAGGCAGTGTGCCCCAACATCGTAATTCCATAGCTTTGATACCATCTTCTTCAAGACAGACCTTGCTTCCATGCAGACTGAGGGTGTAAACTGTGACGTCACCCTTGTGATCGAGTGGTCGGTAGTCATGAAGACGGCCAGGAGTCGCGACTCGACGACCCTGGAGTAGATTTGACCGCAAACAAGCCAAGCAGGAGACTTGAAGCCATCATGATAAAAAAAACAACAAGAAGAAAAGGAAATACCTACGATCGTTCTCGCGGGGCGACAGCAGGGGCGGGCGAGGCAGAAGCAGAGGCGAAGGCGAGCGAGGGCGAGAACAGAAAATTCTCGCGGGCGTGGAGGTTAAAAAAATGAAAAAGGAAAAGCATCAGGGCTAGACGAAGACCTTAAGTAAACAAACCCCCTCAGGCAAGCACTGAAAATTATAGAAGGCCTACCGCCTATAGGCCAGGGCATCTACCAGCGTGGTTTATGAGCAGGAAGACCGTTCTTGGGGCAGGAACGTCCTTATCGCGCCATTGTCTGCTAACGATACTCAAGTCTTCCTAATCTCCCGGTATGCTTCTCATCTGTCTCCTGAAGACATCTTGAGATCTGGTTCATCTTGTTCCATCCCGAACAGTGGCATACACCATAGGGTGGAAGAGCCCAGTCTCCTCATCGCGAACCCCTGTTTTTAGAGAGCAACCAGGCATGGCAGCAAAAGTGGAGCCAGTTGTTTGGGTAAAACAACACAAAGATGGTGGGAGACGAGCAGTGACAGGAGAGCACGGCCCCCTGATATTTATAAGAGAGAGAAGATAGCTAGGTATTAATTATTGAGCATAAGGTATGTTACTATATAAGACTCCTGGGGCCAGATCAGCCCCAGCTTTTGGATGAAGGCTTGTGAAATATAATTATATATACCCTTATTGACGTCCAAAAATCATAAGGCTTTTATTGGCTTCCATAGGTAAGCATGTACAGGGAGCCCTTGACGCTCAGAATCCAATATGCGCTTACGTTGAAGCTTAAAGGTCTATCTGTGTGTCTTTATTGCCAACGAATAGATCACGAACCCAAGCAACAAGCCACAAACTCTATCCAATTTCGTTTGCTGAGTACCATCCCAGCGAGCGATGCCACTGTTCCAAAACTCCCAGACTGACCGGGTACTTCGTTGTATCTGGGACAAGGGGCTCGGCGGCGACAAGGATTGTTGTTAGGGCGAGTGATACTTGCAAATAACGAGTCAGTTGCAGAAACAACATCAAGCTTTGTCAGTCCTGGTCCATCATCGTCGGGAAGTAGGGTAGTTGTTGTTGGTTAAATGCACAAGACCGATCCCAACGTTGTCTGCTTGCTGAGTTTGTGAACCAGATGCGGGCACATGATGGCAGAATGGATGGTTTATTCTACGTCTTCCATTGTATGCGCGTTTCCGGTTGCCGAGAAAGGAGACGATTGGCTGTGACATATACTAGAACATAATCCTACAAACCTTGTTCGCCGTGGCAAAAGCCAATAGCACCTGGGGCTGGCCCCGTATTAGAAGCTAAAGAAAACGATAAAGTGACATTCAAGGGCCCTACATGATATGACCGAACCTCTTTTAGCAACAACCCCCAAGGTGTCGCCTCAGCCGCTGTCTATCCTGTGGAAGACTCACCAGAAGTCACCGCTTCTTTGCTGAAGGGGTCTGTTGGTGATATCTGCCACTGCCCATCCCGTCACATCCTCCAGTGTATCATGTCCTTCTTCTTCTTCTTCTTCGTATTCCAGACTCCTTGGGCATCTTATGCAAGGGATAACAATCGTGGCTTGTGGCGGCGCACAATCATCACGGGCTCACATGATCGTTTTGACAAGGCAGCATGTGCATTCACCGGCATCGTTGGGGGCCGGGGACTGTTGGAATCGTTGGTGACGAGATGCTGTGTAACCACACCTTTGACCACAGAAATGGTTCGTCTGCGAGGCGGGCAGTTTGAACCGGGATGACGGGATGGCTGACAGAGCAGTCTGACTGTGCCTGCTGTTGGATGATGCAGGTACGTGTATCTTTTTCGAGTGATGACTGTGTAATATTCACGCCTCGTACCTCTCTGATCTGACAGCTTTGGGAGTCTTTGGGAGGAAATCGCACTGCGGTGAAGTGAGGGAGTGTCAGCGTTGAGGTCATGGGGACAGAAATTGAGGTGCAGAGGACATACTTCTTGATCGATGTAGAGGAAGTGCCACAGACAGACAGGCAGCAACCGATCAGTCACAGAAACCTGTGCCGCTGGGTGGAAGACATACCAGAAAAATAAGCACAGAACAGATCAAAACCATGTGGCTCCCGGCGAGCCCCGTAGGGCTGAAGAGCAATCTCTGTCACACCACACGGCAGCTCTTTGCTCGTGTGCCGCACAATGTTCTCTTCCTTCAGGATTCTCGGTTTTTCGGGTGGTGGGGGATAGCCGAGGAGGGGCCCCCAATTACAGGGCACAGCACCGCAGAAAGGCAGTTTTATTCACTCGGATATCGGGGCTAGCATCGGCATTCAATCACTTCCCGCACCGACTCCAGGTTCAGCGGCGCATACCGCGGCAGGACACGACTGCGGATATGTCTTGCGATGAAAAGCCACATGGGATTGAAAGCACATTCTTGGTACGAATCATTGCCCATCCCGACACACCCACCAGATTGCCGACACATCCAGATCTAGTTTAGGCACTCGCATATCGCACTCCCCCTTTGCCTGGCAAACATGGACGCCACAGACATCGAGTATGGACAACCCCGACGTGGCTCGGCCATTGAAGAATGTTAGTGGAGGTAGAGGGGGATGCCTGCTTGGGGTTGGGGGTCTAAGCCAACACCAAGAACTACCTGGAGGGATACGTACGCTGCCCGGTCTCACGGAAGTACCTAGCAGGTTGGAGGATTATCTGGTGGGTGTACAAGCCTCCTTGGTGCTACTAAGTAAGGTATACAAACTCTAAGACAGGCCGTCATCCATATCATGGAGCTGTTCCTCGTTTCTCCCCTGGGTCTGTTGTGCCTGGGTTCCAGCATTTCTCTAGATACCAGCATAGTCACCAAAGATGGCCTCCCTACTCCTACCATCCCCTCAGCTTCCCCGTCTAGCCAACCTCCTCACAAGCTCAATACTCCTCCACCTCCTCATCGCCCTCCTCCTCCTAAGTCTCGCCTACCGTGTCCACCGCTGGCATAAACTCTGTCATGTCCCTGGCCCCTTCCTAGCAGGATGGACCTCCCTCTGGCTCACCCGCGGCTTCATCAGCTACAAAGTCTACGAAGACATGCACGCCCTCACCAAGAAATATGGTCCTGTCGTCCGTGTAGCTCCAAACAAGGTGATCATCAACAACATTGACTCCATCTACCGCATCACCAGCGCGCGGTCAGAGTACAAAAAGAGTGACTGGTACCTCCTCGCACGGGTGATGCCGGGGGCGGATAATCTCCTCTCAATGAGAGATCCAAAGCTGAGAGCCAAGAGGTTGAGACATGTCCTCCCAGCCGTAAGTTCCCTCCACCCTTTCAAGTAGGAGCGACACTGACAGAGATAGTTCTCTGGCAAAAACCAAGACGACTTCGAACCCGCCGTTGACAAAACCATCTCCACCCTCCTCGACCTCATCAACACCAAATACCTCTCATCCCCCTCCCAACACCGCCTCATGAACCTGGCCCAGAAATCCCACTTCTACACCTTGGACTCGTTCGGTGAAATAGCCTACAGCCAGTCCTTCGGCTCCCTCGACACCGACAGCGACGTCCTCGGCATCGTCAAAACAGGCGACGTGACCTTCCCTCTGCTTAGCGCGGTGCACAACCACCACAAGATCTTCCAGACGATTCAAAAATGGCCTTTTTACTACCTCCTACCCAGGGAAGGGGACAAAGTCGGTTTTGGGAGGGTGTTTGGCCTGGCGCTGGAGATTGTGAACAAGAGGTCGAGGGAGGTTGGGGAGGAGGGGGTGGATAAAAAGAGGGATATGCTGCAGAGCATGATGGACAATGGGCTGGAGGGGGATGAGCTGAGGAGTGAGGTTGCCATGTCTTTGTATGCCTCCCTTCCCTTCCTTTCCTTTCCTTTCCTTTCATCTACTCACTCATATGGGATAAAACGGAAGCTAACCTATGTGTGTGTGTGTGTGTGTGGTAGTTTTGTCGGGTCGGACACGGTTGCATCCGCCATCAGAATGACAATGTTGTTGCTCATGACACACCCCGCTGTGTATAGGCGTTTACAAGACGAAATCGACGACTCGACAGAGAAGGGTAGGATCAGCAGGCCGGTGACCAACGATGAGGCGAAGAGGCATCTTCCGTACATGCAGGCTGTGATTCAAGAGTCACTCCGGTTATTCCCCCCCTCGTCAATCGTCCCGTTTTTCAAGGAGGTCCCTGAGACGGGGGATACAGTCGACGGGTACTACCTCCCCAAGGGAACCACCATCGGCACAGGCTGTGTCATGTGGAGTATGAACCGCGACGAAGACTTCTGGAGTCCGGACGCGAACCTCTTCCGACCGGAGAGGTGGCTTGAAGCGAACGAGGAGAGACGGACCGAGATGGAACGGTGTGTGGATTTGATCTTTGGGAGTGGCAAGTTTGTCTGTGCTGGGAAGAAGATTGCGTTTATGCAGATGAACAAGTTGTTTCCCGAGGTGAGTTTCATCTTACACATTACACTGTTTTTTTTTTGGTGGCTGAAGTGTGGGGTGATGGTGGCTGACGTTTATTGATTGTAGTTACTGAGAGGGTATAACTGGTCTCTGCCAGATCCGTTGCGCCTGCCAACGATTGATAACCCTACCATCTGGGATATCCACGGGTTGATGGTGCGGATAGAGAAGAGGTAGAGCATCCAGACTCTCATTTCGAGAGAAATCCAATGTTGTATCTAGAAGATATATTGCCAAAAACTGAGGAAGATTTCTTCTTTATTTTTACATTCACCCCTAAGTCTTCCAATGATCCTGAAGCATATAAGCGCCGACAGAAAATAAAATTTGAAAACAAAACGGGCTGTAGAAAATATAGGTACTTCGGTACATCGACCTTGTATTTTCAGATGATAAGAAGCATAACTCTTTGTATATCTGGACATTTACCAGTCCGATCTCTGAAGCAGAAATCATGATCATCTATGTGCCATCCTAAGGAATGCGTTTTGCTGAGGATTCAGCTGAGCGACTGGATTACGCTTGGATGTCCGTACGCGTTTGTGCTGGACTTGGCTCTCACAAAAACGAGGAGGCGAAATGGCGTTTTGTGGTGGAGTCAGGTTCAGGGCAGCACAATGATAATTTCAGAGGGGCCCCGACATCAGCCGAGGATCTCGTTCACGGCTCCCGGATCACTCACGTTCGGGAAAAGAGGGGGAGTTAACCGTCAAATCGTCAGATCTCAAGAAGAGACGAATACCCTAGCTCTCTACAAAACGCACACTTGCCCTCTAGAAAACGCACTTTCTTGCCATCTACCAAGAAAAGTCCGCACTATCTTCCCCTCCACAGCCCCTCAAAGCAGAGTCCGCAGCTTCCCTAGGAAATGAGAGTTATGTTTAAGATTTTTGTTTATAGCTGTCACAGCAAAGCCATGAAAAATATTTGGAAGAGTATTCCTTTCTGTATGGTTGGAGAGAAGCTTGCTGCTTAAACGCTTTGTAACTGCTTAGGCCTGAATGGTGATCAACCTCCAAAGAACCGTCGCTGTGTTCCTGATCATCCCCGCCGGTATACCCTCGTTCTCCTACTAATCAGAATCCGAAAGATGGTTGTCTGTTTCAGAATTGTCTCCGCATTCCCCCGAAAACCTGTTGGAAATTGGTTATACCAACACACAGGGTGTCGCCGTCATGATTCTACCCCGCTTTGGGACGATCGTAGGTAAGACAGCCGTCCTGAATATACAAGCCTTGTGTTCCTTCCGTAAAATGGAATGGAGCGTTCGGTAAAGGGAAAAGGATAGGCAGGCTTGTATATAAAGAGCTGTTGAGCGTTTTGATCTAGGAAAAGTTGACGGTTCATCAGCTCTGCTCATGCTCCCTACCAGGTACTGACCAGGGGGTCCACTTTTCTTCGAAACTGTCCGCAGCCACCAAAATTTCTATCCAAAAAGCCTTTTTTCCCAATATCAAACCCGACCGCCATTATACTACGAGTTCCAGGAATTAGTACTGCACACCTTACTACTGAAGACTGGGTCGCGGTCTGGACTTTGTTCTTTATTAGAGGACCTATAAGGGCTCAGATTCAATTATTATTATTCCTGCTCCGTTCTACCCTAAAAGAGTGTGCCGGTCCTGCTGATGCTATTTTGTGACGAACCCCTATCCAGAACCTCTGAAAGGGATACACAGTTGAAGGTAAACTCTAGATGATGGCTTGGTGCAGCCAAAAGGTGCACAACAATGGACTTGTCGTAATGTAATCAAAATGCGTGATAAACACTTGTACAGATGTACTTGTATTGCATACTGCAGAACTATCTATGAGCTATCTGGTTCCTCCGTATATATAAACCATGCCAAGCCCCTGATCGTTAATCATTATTAATGATCAGTGATCCTGATCATTTAATCAATATCAATGATCAGTGATCCATAGTTGATCATTTCTTCCTTTCCTTGATCAACTCCTGGTTGGCTATCGTGCGTGATTGGTTAACTTTTATCCTGGTTCTGATTGGTCCACTCGTCCCAGGATCCTGCACCAGGGTTGTGACATATTTACATAGAAAAAGTCGTGCCCTGAGACCGGGTGAAAAACCTAAATCGGTAACAAATAGGAAACTATTCTAAGGAAAGTAACCAGTTGGTTGCGAAATAAGAGAAAGGCCCTGTATAAGGCTTTGAGGACTAGTTATCCTCGACTTCAGCTCCGGCCGCCTCTTCCGCCTCTTCCTCTCCTGCCAGTACGCCCCCCTACTCCAGTTCCAGCTTCCTCGTGTGAGAGTTGTCGTTATGGTTGATACTTGAGTGGTAGAAGCAGCTCAGAGGCAATGTTATCAAAGAGGTTAAACGTATATTGAACTCTGAACCAGCCATTGATTAGTGGCTGGTTCCCAGGCATATATATATCCCTATCTATCCCGCTGTTCTATGCCTTCCTTTGAGGGCCCCCGGTGCGGGTATGGTTCCGCATCCGGCGAACAGCCTTTGACTGGTTTCAGGAGACAAAGCAGCGTGGGCGATGCGCCGAGCCACAGTCAACCAGCCCACCAGCTCCCGAGCTCCCCTCTAGGCTGAAGCGCTTCCCGGCATGTGACAAGCCCTCTTCCAGAGACTGATCTTTTGACATATCGGATTTTGAGGTAAATTAGCAATACGGCCATAGCGTTAGCGATATTCACCAGCCACAGGTCAGGGGTTTGGTTGCCATACAATTACTACAAAAACAAAACTCCTTTGTTGTGCCTGTAAGGTAGGATTTCCAGTGCCCGGGTCGGACTTTATTTCATCAACGTCATTAGCTATAGAGTAACTCTCTGATGGTGATGGCTTTCTTTACTGGGTCTCGGTTTCTCAGGAGATATGGCGCGCCGGGCGCAATTGCAATAGCAATGAGAAGTATTGTAACCTTTAACACACTGCGCCTGCAGCGCTTGCGCCTTCTCACCACCTTAGATGTCTCCATTCGGCCGGCAAGAAGGTGGTAGCGATGGGAGAATACGGCAACGATAGGAGGTTTATTACAACGACGAATTCTTCGATCAACACCACACTGGCGCTGGCGCGCGCCCATCATGGCCTTCACTTGGCCCCGCACCGTAGCTGTGGTGCCCTTAATGAGCCACAGGCTGTGATGACAACGCAGAATTACAAGGCAAAATCTGGATTTCCAGACCCTTTTTGCTCTGGAAAATCTCCAACGCAAATCGAGCCTGAAGAGCGTGTCCTATTGGTTAAATCTAAAAATATGGGCCTAGCGTTACGGGATCAAAATACAGAGCAAAGTTACGTGCGGAAATGATTACGGACCAAAAAATCACATCTTGGAATTTGCCTCGTAAGACGTTACGAGACAATAGTTACGGAGCAAAAGATCGCGCTCTAACACGCCTCTGCCAATCATACGCATAGATCTTGGTCGTTGGGTCGCCGGGAGTCCTTTTGAGCAAGATCTAGCCTGGCAGGCTAATTTACTGCATCTATTACGGCGCTAACCGAATCAAAGACGTTGTGCAGCTAGGCACTTACGACTTGGTTATCACTCCGTCATAAGCGAGCTCGATGCGCGCCTCAAGAGAAAGCCCGGTATCTACCCTCTCTGGAGGAGATTGGGTGGTTCCGTATAGTTCTCGATGAAGCCCACACCATTCGAGAGCTAAACACGCTATCATTCAAGTCGATCTACCGGCTATAGGCTAACCGCCGTTGGGCAGTGACGGGAACACCGGTTTAGAATAAACTTGAGGATTTTGCATCCCGTTTTGCGTTCCTGCGTCTGAAGCTATATAACGAGAGGAGTAAGTTTATCCAGTACATAATTGCTCCCTTCAAGGCTGCCGACCCCGACATCGTGCCCAAGCTTCGCGTTTTGAATAACACTATCACGATTCGTCGCCTAAAGGACGAGATCGAACTTCCGGAGCGGACAGGCGAGATTGTTCGTCTCGACTTTACGCGCGAGGAGCGCAGGGTCTATAATATTTTCAAGAAGATGGCCGAGGCACGAGTTCAGGTTTTAACGGGTCAGGGTATCGGCCAGACCCGCATTATGGGTGGCAAGACCATGATATACGTCTTGCGGTCCATTCTTCAGCTTCGTCTGGTTTATACGCACGAGAAATGTCTGCTGAATAATGACGGCTTTTAAGAGATTCAAGGTATGTCGATTGGTGCGCCCATCGATCTTGATAGTGGCGACGACGACGAAAAGCCGGCACTCGGCAAGGCTTATGAAATGTTGTACCTAATGCAGGAGGGTCGCAGTGACTACTGTATCAAGTGCAGCAACAAACTCGGTTCCATTAAGGTGGACGACCCAGAGTCGGATCAGAAGGATAACATCTTAGATTATATGGCTCAGTGCTTCCATGTCTACTGCCCAACTTACATTAAGTTGGTGAATCGGCACGGGAATGGCAAGCTGTAACAAACTGCCCTGCCTACGCTTACGCCCAGAAGGCTCAGTGCATTGAACTTCGCTGCAGCAAAGCCAATATCGAGCACAAGACCCACCAGGTAAAGACACAGGCGGGCAAGATCGTTCCAGATGGCCGGTATGCCAGACCTCATACCAAGATCCGGGCTTCGGTAGAAGAGCTTCTAACCAATAAGGCCCGGAGCGAAGCGAATCAGGATGAGCCGCCGTACAAATCAGTTGTCTTCTTCGGCTGGACCTCCTACCTTGATCTTATCGGATTCGCCCTAGACAATGCCGGTATCACGCACACTTGCCTTAACAGAAAGATGTCCCGCATTGCCTCCACTTGCTGCTCAGTATCAGCACAGTAGCCGCAACTGCATTGTGTCTGTCGGCTTTGGCATTGCAGGCAGTGGCGCAGCATTTATTGGGGGCCTCACAGACCGATTAGTGTTTTCTCTTTGCAGTTAGCAAGTCTTCGGCTCAGATTAATAAGGGCGGCTATTCATCTCTATATAGGAGGCCTTTATTCCTACAGAATATCGTCTATTCGAGGTGCTAGGGGATAGCTTCCCCTTTCTTTAATTATTAATATAATGGCGTTGATTATTAAGAGGTATTAGAGTATAGAGCTATATTTAAGGGTATTACGACCCTAATACCATACGGGGCGCAGGATATCTCTCCGACCAATCAGTAAATAGCCAATAGGAAAAGAGTTACTATTATTACGGGTAAAGACAGTAATAATCGGCATTATCACCAGTGAAAGAAGTAAACACTTAGTCTATATATATGGAGGAACTAGACGGCTATAGATAGTTCCGCAGTTTATAATACAAGTACAAGTTCTAGTACGAAGCTTACGAATACATTGAGACAAATCTATTATCGTGCACCCCTTAGCTACACCGATCCATCATCTAAAACTTCGCCTTCAGCAGTATATCCCTTTCAAAGGTTCTAGACAGGGGATCGTCACAAAGGGGCGCTATACTTCCCAATCACCTCCTTTAAGCATACTTTAAACCCGTATCTACTCTACCACGGCCGCCATACTATAGCGGTCTCTAGGCAAACAACGATGCCCGTTGGCGCTTGGGGAAAAGAGGCGTTTCGTTCCCTTTACAACGGACGCTATTAAGGCCATATCTTAGAGACTCCACAGACTTAACTAGTCTCAACGATTAGCCATACCTTAATACTCGATTATCTCACCGTGCTCGATCTCTCAGCGAAGGAAACTCGCTATTCCTACCTATATCTTATCGCCATTCCAGCCCGGCAAAGACCTGGGATCTAGTACGGGCAGACGAGCCTATGCAAACCCTCGCCCAAAATCTCACCTAATCTACCAATTACCTTTTCCACGATACTTGAATTTATAGGCCAAGATAATCTTACAGCTACACAGAGTTACCAGGCGTCCAAACCGGCCAGCTCCAAAGTCGTATAAACGTTACTTACTTACCGCTTCCCTCCAGCTTCTCCCCTTTAATTGCCGTAGCTTATATTGCGATATTTAAAGCTTATCTCTTACAGCAAGGCCACCTGTCGGCCCTCTTATCCCGCTATGTCGGCGCTGGTGGACCTCCATCCCTCGTGGGTAGTGGAACGTTCCTCGTACAGTCGAGTCGTGAAAGGTACGTGCTTAAGTCCGTGGTACGCATAAACCAAGTAGACCAGCAGAATTCGACACGCTAGGTACCGAAATCGAATTCGTTAAATAGAAGCGTAAGCAAATGGCTGGCTGGTCTCCGAGCGAACGATCGACTGGTGCAATGGATTGACTCGGCTGATAATGACCTAAGTCCGCAAGGGTGTAGCAGCGGTGATGGTTTCGTCGGGACGGAAGATCTGGAGGCTGCTAAAATTTGCTTGCCGATGGTGCTCCGAGAAGCTCTTAGGGAGCTGGTGAGAGCTGTTGAGGGCTGCCAGGATCTCGGCCTATAGATGCGAAGGAAGTAGCTACTAGATAATCTTGTAGTATACAATTCACAATCACAAGTTCTAGGAACAAGCACTTGCGAGAGACAATTCCCTGCCAAGCGGATAAGAACTTATATAAACTTCAGTTGTCGACTTTGAACCTCTTTTCAATGGTGAATCGTCGCAGTGACAGTTATTTTCCGATGATGCTGAAAATAACATGAACAGCAAAGAGGTTGGGGTGCCAGTTGTTATTGCGACACCCCATAAGCGAGTCCGAAAACGGCAAAAAGTTTCTCTCGACGGAACAATACAAGTCACATTCGTTGGTATCAGATTATTGTGATTGAGACAAGCCATTTTTGTGCACTGTTTAGCTGCGCTGAACCATTGTCTAGAAGCACCTTCAACTGAGTATCTCTTTCAGAGGTTCTGGATCGGGGTTCGTCACAGATAAGCAGTATGTTGGTTTATATGACGTTTCAACTAGGCCTTGACCTTGACTTGCAAATTCGGTATTCGAACTTAAGCTGGTTAATTTGGACATTTCAAAATCAAACACATTTTTTCCAAGCTGAAATTGCCAGGGGGTAGAGTGGAAGAGGCAGTGCTGCTTCTAACTACACAGCCCACCCAAGTCCAAAAGCGGCAATACATTTCCCTTGACCGGGAAGAACAACGGTGGGCTCTCTCAGACAAAGATTTCTCGTCAGCAGGATGCACACCAGGCGCGTTTGGGGAGGGGGAGCAATTCACAAGTTCGGATACCTTGAATCTGAAACAATCCAGACGGCCCAGGAAATTCCACTGTTGCATTCTTACATCATTCCCCCATCTCCGCACACGTCGTGACTCCGCTTCAGGACCTTGTTACCCGTGTCCAACGCCGGGTCAAATGCAACCCTCGGTTTGTACGCATGTCGAGGCTTTGGCGCCTTGAGGAGGATGCCCTTTATCTTCCCTCCTTCGGCAGAAGTAGGTTTGCTCGGCTCGGCAGTATGGAAATGGCTGACGGCGAGGACCATCACAAGCAGTGCGGCCCCTCCAACGAGAAACTCAACCGGGGAGGTCTTGCTGCGAAGCCATACCATGGGGACCAGCCCCTTGAGCGCCAAGATGGCCATCTCGACGAAGGCCTCGCCCGAACTGGGGACCCGGGCGTGGTGTGGCTGACTTGAGATCATGGCGGAGATGAATCGAACGAAGTTATCTACTACAATCATCACCGTAACCATGGTTGTGTCCATGTCGCCCGCCCCCTTTTACAAGCAGAGGTCCTACAGCATATGGTAGTCGGTATTGTCCCGCCTCGTGCCGTTAGTATTGTCAACGCCACGTGAGGTCTTTGTATCCACTACCAACGTGGCCAGTGGTCCATGTGGTTTTGCTTTGTTGTTCGAGCGCTTGTGTTCGGTTCGGTAGATCGTCGGCCGTTGGGTATTGACGACATGCCCCTGCTTGAACCCAGTTCTGGTTGACAGACAGGGGGTAAGGTGCCAAGGGAGCCTGAACTTTGGTTCGCAAGCCTTGGTTTTTTCTGCTGCTGGTGGTGGCTATTCGGCTATGGATGATGAGCTGGAGAGTCCTTGATCCTGTGGGAACTTTTTAGTGGTCGGTCCTATTACGTTTGCAGTCCAGCATGCGAGGCAGTGGTACATTACGCAGGGGCCGGTTGGGTGGCTCCTTTGGATATTTGGGTGAGGAGGAGGTCCAGACTTGCCTTGAGAGAAGGCGATCGTTTCCCAACCTTTCAAGGCGCGATCGAAGTTTGTGTGATCTCTTCGGGAGAGCAGCATCACCATGCTCATGGGCCATGCTCATGTTGGTCCGGCGGGGAGCTTATCGTATCGCTTCTGAGGGGAACTGCGCAGTGCTTTCCCTATGAAGTGTGGGATTGGCGAGGTTCCATTTTCTGGGGGCGGAGACGGAGTGGGAGACAAGATTTGATAAGTATCGAAATTGGAGGGGGGATTCGGTGATCTGCATTCCTCGTTTCTGAAACAGGCAGATAAACTCGATGCCGGCCAGACGCCTGCTACGGTGCTTGAAAAGAGAGGGGGGACCCATGCAGCGGGGAGAGGGGGGGGGCTGATGTCGAGACTGC